ATAACATGTTCTCTACGAGATGTTTCACATCTATTTAAATATACGCATTCTCTTCAACATTTGAGCACTTGCATACATTTTAATTTAGAAAATGAACAAATACCTATCGTAATTTCTTCAATAAGATCATTAAAATTAACATTTGAAAGTTCCGTACCTGTACTGATGAACGTGTTTCAAATGATGCCAAATTTAAATTCATTAGAATTAAAAACAATGGATATTTATTTAACTGGTCATAAATGGAAAAAGATTCTTATGAAATATTTATTGCATTTAAAAATATTTCGCTTACGAATGTATTTTGAATTTTCGCATCGCAGAAATGTTCATGAGCAATTCAATAAATTAATTGATTCGTATCGAAATTCATTTTGGATTCAAGAGCATCAATGGTTTATTCAATGGGATTGTATTTCCTTTGGAGAATATCATCATGGAATTCTGTATACACTACCATATAGATTTGATACTTTCGTTTGCTACGATACATTAGAATCGAAGTATACTTGTCCTAATGAAAGTATATATTGGTTAAATAAACGAGTCAATCATTTACAATATATGGTACCTAAAACAGATACCGTCGCTGATTCAAATTCGTTACCAATTCAATTTCCGAACATTCAACATTTAAAAACGACTTTTCCTTTTGGTGATAAATTTTGGTCATATATGCCCTCATTAAATCGATTGGCGATACTTGACATCATATTAGATGAACATTATACGGTTGATCAATTGCAACAATTACTTAACTTATCACCTTGTCTTTATTCATTGAGACTTTTCTATTCAGTTGATTTGAAAAGATTACTAGAACGAATTACTAGTTCATCGATTCGTCGTCTTAATTTAGTAACTAAATGTTCATCTGATCTATCATATTTTAATAGTATTGAGTGTGCTACTTTAGCTGATTCACAACTTGGAAATCAATGCGAAGTTCTTTTAGTTGAAATTGAAAATCGAATAAATGTTCTAAGTCTTCTTACATCTATGAATAAACTTCGATCATTAATAGTTCAATGTAAAGATGATACATGAAACAATAAAGATCGACCATCGACTAAGGATGAACTCGTTGAATGGCTATGCAATTGTTTACCATCAGCTTATTCAATTGTAAGAGATAAAAATGAAATGTCAAATATTCGAATATGGATTAGTAAAAGTGACAACAATGTACTTCAATCATGAAATCTTCAATTTTGATAGCGAACCACTATGAAAATTCTGTATTTTTGATCTTAACTAAATGATTCTTTTAACAAGAATTTTTCATATCACTGCAATATGATATAAATTGTAATTCTTACGTTAGACAAATAATCTGCTTTTTATTAATTTTTATATCAATTCTTATCTAGTATCAATCATGAATTTGACATGAGAAATAGACAGTGAAATTGTGAGTACGAGTGTGTCACCAAACAGAAGAGAAAAAGACCCATACCCGCACCCTCAAAATTGAATGTTAAATATCTTCAAAATGAAATAGCTATAAAAGAGATTTCTAAAAGCGAAATCGGTGATTTTTCGAATAGCAATAATAAATACGTATGTTAAATAACATTGATTCGAACTTTCAAATCATTTTAGTTTCTTTGACAGGCTTGTTTTATGAACTGCAATTGCTAATCGACGTTGAATTCAAGACTGAGAGAAAGCAAAATAGTGAAGTTTAATAATCTAATTATTGTTTGCGTGAAACGTTTAATGGATTGATTCTAATGCGAGTTTCATGATGAAATAAATTTAAATGTAGCATCCAAGGAAAGCGACAGTCTTTAAGATCAACATTTATTTCATAGGATTTTGTCGAACGAATATTGGTCATACGGATCGGATGATGATCACAGTCAAGAATTAATTCAATAACATCGTCTCTTGAATAGCCACTGGTATATCCATTCACATTTTTCGAACATTTTCCATTCATGTATACGTCGTTGTGACCGGCCCAACCCTAAGATGAATTTGACTGATAAGAATTTTCCTTCATGGGTGTTGATATTGAAATAACACCAAAAAGCCATCATGGATGTACATCAAGTTGTCTATTTCAAGTCGGATTCGATGCATACCAGAATTATATTGTCTTCGGCCACGAATTTCCTCAGAAATTGGGAAAATATTGAAATTATGGCTAGCAAGCTGACCATTTTCTTTGATAGATACAGGTCTACATACTCGTTCAAAGCTTTCTCTTTCCTTGGCAAGTAAATTAGTGATGAAATCATTCTCAGACTGTTGTTCATCAATGTATAGATCTGATTTCGAAACATTGAGTTTCAATTCATCGAGTTTTTTCTTTCATTTATTTAAATCTCGCTCATCGAAACCATGATTTTGCCGATCTTGTTGTAACTCTTGTGTGATTTTATGCACACAAGATGTGGTCTTTTCATTGCTCAAGGCGATTAAAGTTTGAACCTGCTGGCGTGCTTCTTGTTGTATCTTTTGAATTGATTTCAATTCCCAAGTATTGATTTTGCCACTCAGCATCAGTTCTAAACTATTATATTGTTCACCTGATCCGCTTTGAAACGTATTTAATTCATCCGCACAGATGTCAAGGTCTTGATCGAGTTTAGCTCGATGTAAATCAAAGTCATTACGACAAAATACGAGATTGCATCCTTGACATTTTAAAATGCCTGCAGTAGTATTACAAATGGTGCACATGTCTTTCATTGTTGCCGACGACTATTTTATTTAAATGAAGTTAATAAAACTTACAAAATGGTAATTTAAGAAAGAAATGTACGTTTTTCTCACGGTTATCTTCAGCTCTACGTTAACAAAACAAAACAAAAAACAAATGAAAAGAAATACACGTGACTTGTCTTTGTATTCTACTTTATACTAATACGAGAATTAAACTTCTTCTATATAATTTACTAGAATATAAAATAGGTACTTTTATCGTTTTCATCGAACTTTTACTTTTAACTTAAAAACTTCTCTATTTCAATTGAAGCAATATTTTCATGCAAAATTCTATACAACAAAGCGAGAAATAGTAAATCTGCATGTTATGATAGTTGTTTAAGTTGAATTTCTTTTGAAATGCTTGAACTACTTTGAAGTTTTTTCTTGAGCTGCTGTCTTTCTTTTTATCAGAGCAGCATATGTAATTGATGACTGCATTCATTTTGCAGTAAAGTGGTTCTACTGGGATTTGCTGCAAACTATTGACATATGGGTAACTTGAAATATCCAATTATGTACGACCTCTACGATAAAGTTTTTGTGAATCTTCTAAATTGACCAATACGATGCTCATCAGAAGTCTGATATGATGCGTCGTATTACAATAGGCTTGCTTTTATAGAATAGTAAATATCAGTTACCTTATCGGGTAACTGATATGTTAATTTTTATTGACGTAGTGATCACTAGTACATTATAAAAGAAGAAGAAGACAAGTAATGATGACGATTACTATTTTCATCTTATTCTAGTACACATCGATACAATGTCGACGATCGCATCTGAAGAAAAAATAAAAATCCGTCTTCGTTATTGGAATGTACGTGGCCGAATTCAACCAATCCGGTTCATGCTTGAGGATGTTGCAGCTAAATATCCAAACGTAGATTATCAGGAGGATTTCGAATTATTAGAAAAAGCCGCTGAACAATGGCCTATTCACAAGGCAGATAGTAAAATTTCAGGTCCGTTTGGTAATCTACCAGTACTCACTTGGAATGATACAGACATTATCGCGCAAACTCTACCCATCGGTTCGTTAAAAGAAAAGCGTCATTATAAAGATATTCGATAAGAACATATATTCTCTATTTTTAGGACAATTCATTGCACGCAAATTCGGTATGTATGGTACACCGAAAACAGCAAATGCAGATCCTGTTGTTTTTCAAGGACTTATTGATGGTGTTGTCTCGTGTGCCTACACAGATGTTATCATGAGTTTATTTTTGATTCTCTATAGTCAGGTTGAATTTGACAATCCGGAGCACGCATATGCAATGCTGGTAAAAAAGATTGCTGGTGATTTTAAAATGTTGAATAATCTTCTTGCAAAGAGTTCGACACCATTTTTCTATGATCAACACGAACCAACCATTGCGGATTATTTTGTATTTTATGCATTTACACTGGCAAAAGACTTTCATTCTGCTTTGTTGCCGACTGAAGAAGGTTCGGAAGCATTGCGTAAATTTGAACAGGTAATGCGAGAACGTCCAGCATTAGCCAAATATTTTAGTGAAAGTCGTCTATTCGATCGATTCAGTGGTTCGCCAACCGAACAAGAATATCGAGCGAAAATTGCTGCAACAAAAGTTTGATCGATATACTACATCTTAACCATGAACATACGCTTTTAAATAGAAATAAAAAGACAAGCGTAGATACTACAAATGCTAGGCTCATTTTTATAGAAAACTAATAATTGTACTCAATAGTTGTATGATTATCAAGCTTATAATTGTCATGCAATAGAATACATATTTAAGCAATAACAAGAATAAATATACACTCATAGCCTAGTTGGAAAACTGAACTTTGTCACTCGTGTCCTCCTTCTATTGACCGCCATAGTTTCATAAAAATGGAGCTCTCCTAAAAAAAAACAATACTAAGTATGGATGTTAGTTAATCACAAGATTTGAAAGAGTTCTTTGGCATTCTTAATAACATCATGCATATAACATAGTTGGTTGAAAATAGAAATTGTTTCAACTGGTAATACTAGGAATAGCATGAATATTGTATTGTGTTATTTTTTATAGAGTTGTAATAATCTACAGTTTTTCAAAAACGTTTTATGCTAAATTAATTGAATTAGTTCTATGATTGAATAGATCAATGTTTCAGTTGTTAAACATGAAATTCTAATTGGTTCCTTATTTCGAATTACTGAATTTGGTATTGCTGTTGATGTAAATCTTTCGGATAGTGTTTATCAATAGAATACTAACGCTTCGATTTGTTACTCAGACAAGACGACGCAGGTCTAGATGAAGCAAAATTCATCATCATGAGTTTTTGAAATTATTATATTCATGCGTAACTATAGTGTGATCTCTGTTTTCGAGGATTTAACGAGTTAAGGGACAGCTTGGAAATCATTATAGTGGTTCAGCGAATCGTGTGATGGAAAATTCAGATTAATCTTGCTTCAAGTATGTAAAAAAACCTGGAATAGGATATTTCAATACATGTTTACTGTTGTCGACGATGTTTTTGAGTTACCAACATATTAGGGTTCTGCCATGTAATGTGTCAATCTACTCGATATTATTTTGCTTGAGAAACTTGTTTAAGATATCTATATTCAAGTTATCACGTGAAACAGTTCAACTCATTTTTGTAATAATACACGTTGACCGATTGAACTCAAGCGATCTCACTCATTTGCTTTTCTCACAACAAGATTGCTCTTGTACGTTTTGATTGCTCAGTAATGAATGTAAATCTGAACAAAAATGTATCAAACTCGACATTCAAGCAACACAATATGACTTGAACTCACAGTAATACTTAGCCTAGTCAACTCTCCCTAGAAGAATCTCCAGGGAGTCCCTAGGGACTTCGTTATTTTGCGGGGAGTCGTCGGGAGAGAGTGGATTAGGGTGTGGGTGTGGGAAGCCTCCACTCTCATGCACAATCACGCTAGTAAGCAATATGAATCCGTGTGAAAATAGAATTTCAGAAAAAATGATGAAACTAATGAAAAGGAAGAAAAGGTTTTATGTAGCTTGGCAGTGCTCATGTTCTATACGTAGAAACAAATTGCCTGCTAAATTCATCGACATCACACAATTAGATGTGCCTCAACGGTGTTTTCCTTATTTTTCCTTAAAGTGTTAGATTTTCGTGAATGCTGTCTACACTGTAGTAGGTTTTGCTTTTCTATTATTTAGCGTGAATCATATATGTCTTCCTATGATCTCAGTTGAAAAACTGTTTTTAAATTCACATCGATCTCTTTGATTCTTAATCGCTTAAATTCATTTTAGAACATGAAACAAGTTATCGAAGCGTAAATAATGGAATACGAGTTGTTGTCAAGAGAAGGAAAACAAATCCCATATTTTCTTTTATGGTTTCCGATTTCCTAATAACACAACATTCAAAGAAATCAATCTTTATTTCTGTAATGCAAAACAATAACAAAGCAGACCAGTTCTTCTTCTCAGCTGTATTTTTTTTCATTGCGTTCTGATAAAAGTGCCAGCGTCTTCTGGCAAGGACTATCACATTTAAAAAAACAGACCTACAAATAATATGTCCTTAAATATTAAAGTGTCACATTTAACTTCATAGTTTTCGAAACAATTACGTAAAACTAAATTTGGCTCAATTCAAGGCTATTGGATGATCGGTAATGTAAACTCAGCATTTATATAGTTTCATATTTGACTTTTCGACAAAATATAATACATAACATATGACGTGTCAACAGTTCTAGTTTCTACGTAGATAAATACAGAATGAAAGTAAATATCTGATGGAAGTTAAATAAAGATGAAATATGAAGGTTTCTTTGTCTATATTATTAATGGTTTCAATCGATTGAATTTCTTCACTTTCACTCAGTTACGAAATTATTTCTGCTTGAATCTAACTCTTCATTTCTTGAAACGTTTCAAATCAGCTGAAGTAAGTTGTCACCATTAAAGTCATAGTTCTTCTCATTTGTGTAACATGACCCTTGATAAATTAAAAAACGTATTCTTCTAATTTAATTCTAAGAAAGAATGATCGCACTGTATTATAATTTTTAATTATGAACTCCGGAAGTAGAATTTCTATTAACCAAGTTCTTTTGAATTTGAAGAAAAACAACGAGTTTCGTATTCTAAATTAAAACAGATACAATATGAAAACAAATTGACTACACTAGTTCGATTCAATCGTAGACAACAATAATAAATTTTGTGTTTTTTTTTGCGTTGTTTAGAGAAATGTTTTTGGGTCATGATGAAGCTCCAAAGAAGTTATCAACTTCAGAAACAGATGCTTCACCAACAACCATCACTGTTTACATGGCTGATAAAAAATTTTCCGACGATCATGCTTCTCGAATTTCTAGTCGAAAAAATGCACGTGTCTCTATGGATTTCTCATCGAAAGGAACACATTCTTTTCGAAATATTAATTATGTCATTGGTAGAAAAAAAAGAATGATTCATGTCAAAAATTCTATCCATCTTTCATGAAACCTAAACCACAAAAGCAAATCATCGCTAATGTTTCTGGTATATTTTCAACAACAATGAATGCTGTCATGGGTAATAAATTATTTTATGAATTTAATTTGAGATTTTTCTTTTATCACAATCAGTTTTTGTGTTACCTGCTTATCATTTGTTTTTATGATTGAATTATTGAAATAATAATATTTAGGAGCAACTGGTTGTGGTAAATCATATCTTCTGGATATAGTGGCTTATCGTAAAGATCCTTATGGTGTCCTCCGGTGAAGCATTTATCGATAGATATCCGCCAGGTTCTTCATACAAATATGTTGTTGGCTATATTGTTCAAGATGATATTATTAGTGGAACACTTACTGTAAAAGAAAATCTTATGTTCTCAGCAAATGCTCATTTATCGGATGACATTTCTAACGATGAACGTAAACAACGTGTAACAAAAGTTATGCATGATTTTAGACTTGAAGCGTGTGCTGATACAAAAGGGGGTGCTGAGTTTTTACGAGGTGTATCAGGTGGTGAACGACAGCGAACTTGTATTGGTGTAGAACTTATATTATCGCGCAAAATACTATTTCTGGATGAACCCACTACAGGTTTGTATGATACAATAAGTAACATATTCTTTCATTAGAGTTGAACTTCGAAGCCATTTTTTTTCTTTCAGCTGAGAGCAATATTTCAGTATTTTGATGTAATCTTTAATATAGATTCTTATGACAATAGACTGTTGATCTAAAATTGTGAAGACTTAAATTAAATATTTCATCAGATATTTGAGGGAAACATATGTAAAAGCCTTTTGAACATAAAATCTATTGAATTCGAGAAAAGAATAAATCTTTAAAAACATTCTATTATATCGTAGTAAACTAGAATACTACATCAAAAAAATTCATTTATTCTCATTTAGTCCTTGATGCGTCTACGGCTCAAAATGTAATGGAATGTTTGAAACAATATCGGCCCCTGGCAGTAAGATTTTTGTTTGATATTTTCCTATGGACTATTTTTAATTAATAAAATTTTCTTTCAAGGTACAATTACTTATTTTCTCTATTCATCAACCTCGTTACTTTATATTCAAACTTTTTGATACTGTTCTTCTTATGGGTAAAGGCAAAACATTTTAGCAGAGTCCAGCTTTAGGTTTACTATTCCATCCAGCTGATTTTGCATTGGACGTTCTTATTGATGCGAGTCGATAGTCTGAGTTTAGAACAGTTCGAAAAAGCTTATCAAGAATCTCAAATCAATATCAACATAAATTCTTCATTGAAGAGACATATATGTGACGCTCACATGGGAAAACTTCGCCAGAAAAAACGAGAAGTAGCGGCACGCTCTTCTACTGTATAAATCTATTATGTCTCACAACGAACATTAAGAAATACCATAAGAAATCCTGTATTATTTTTAGCTCAAGTTGTAGTTGCAATTGTACTGGGTCTTGTGGTAGGATTTGTTTTTAACAGTCTGGGAAAATCGATTGATCCCGGAATACAAAATCGGTTGGGAGCAATCTTCTTTTTATGGTTGTTAGTCAAGCATTTGGCACGATAACTTCACTAGAACCATTGATTAAAGAACGTGTCTTATATATCCATGTAAAGTTTTTCTTTTCTCTCCCGATTCATGTCATTGATGAATATTTTAATTTTTTAGGAAAATGTCAGTGGCTATTGTAGAAATACGACATTTTTCATTGCTAAAGCTTTCTGTGATGTATTACCAATACGAATCGTTTCCTCGATTTTATTTTCTTTAATTGCATATTTTATGACAGGCTTAGAGCAAAGTGCTGGTCAATTTTTTGGTTTTCTCGTCACTGTTTTTATGACTTCAGCATTCGGATCAGCAATTTGTCTGTTTGTCTCAGCTGCTTATTCATATGTTCAATAGATTTCACTTCCATGTCAAGTCTTTTAATGTAAATTCGTTTAATTATCATTCATTTTTACTTTGGTTTTAGCTGTGACTCTACTTGTTGTTATTTTTGTCTTAATGATTATGTTATTATTCAGTGACTTTCTAATTTCATTAAATAATATATTCAATGAAATATCTTGGATTCAATGGATTAGTGCTTTTTCGATATGCATCAAACGTGCTAACAATCAATGAATTTCGAAATATTAGATTTTGTCTCGGTAATTTCACAAATGTTAGTCTGGTGGTGGACTCAGACATACTGAGAAAGCAAGCGATAGACCATGCAACAGACTGGGATCTGTGGAAATATTTTTTTGCATTAATAATGATAACATTCACTTTTCTTCTATTAAATAACATTCAACTTTGTAGAATTAAAAAGAGCAAATAGCTCTACAGTTTAATTATTTCTTCTTTTTTTAACTAGAGAATTTTATTCTATTTTTATATTTTCCAAATTGTGGGTATTATAGTAGCCAAAACAGTAAATTTCGAAACTAATTGAAGTTTCACTTTAAAACCAAATGACTTTTTATTGTAATTTATTTCAAATCATTCTTTTCCCACTTATTTTTTGTCTTTGAACATATGTTTAATGGCGAATTCTTACGAGGGTAGGTCACCAAGTGTTCAATCGCTTTCAAGTCACAACTATGTGTGTCATGTAGACCCCAGTGTGGTATGATAAACTCCAAAAGGATAAGAGCGGATAGGCCTTCTGTCCAGAGTTATAGTCATTTTACTGAAATTTTAGCCTCTGACATAATATATATCAACAAATCGAATGTCATTATTTTGACCTGAAATTTTGTCCATCGACAGGTCTCTTTGTGAGTAGAACACTCTGAAATTTTCAGCTCAAAAGAATGTTTCGTTTCCGAGATATTAAAGTTCCAAAAAGCACTCATATTTCACGACAGACACTAAAATGTTCTGATTTTTGAGACTTTCATATTTCGGAAACGAAACATTCTTTTGAGCTGAAAATTTCAGAGTGTTCTACTCACAAAGAGACCTGTCGATGGGCAAAATTTCAGGTCAAAATACTGATATTCGATTCGTTGATATATACTATGCCAGAGGCTAAAATTTCAAGAAAATGGCTATAACTTTGGACAGAAGGCCTATCCGCTCTTATCCTTTTGGAGTTTATCGTACCTCACTGGGGTCTACATGACGCACATCGTTCTGACTTAAAAGCGGTTGAACACTTGGTGACCTACCCTCGTTAGCCGAAAGAAAGATATTTATGATTCTAAAAAGGCGCGCTTTAACGCTGATGTTTTGCGCTCTATCCACGAAACTAGTTGGCTTTTGATAAAAATTCCTGGCTCGTTACAGAGAGCGTGACGTAATCACCTTTGGGTTGAACAAGTGCGTTTCCTTAAAAAAAATAGGAACATTTTTTCTCTTATATTTCATCTTAACTATATTTCTTTTATAGGTAATGGGATTTTAGAGCCTCATTTCTTAATTCTGAAGTTGATTTTTGACAATTTAAAGTTATTTTTATTACCGCAATTGAAGATGCCATTTATGGGTGATATCTGATATGTATCTTATACTTTTGAAGTATAGTTTTCACTTTATCAGAATGATCAACGTAAAATGACTTTTTTTGATCACTTTTTTACGAGTAATCAGAGATGCGCGGGGCAACATTAGTTTTGGCCCCGATCCTGACCAAAACCCCGGCACCTTTATTGTGGTTCTGGCCTCTGCTCGGGTGAAATTTCATTTTTTATTCCGGTCATGTGATCCTAATTAATCTACAGTCTGTGCCTATTTGGAGAAACATGTTGCAGCATTGTTTCCTCACATTTTCAATGTTTCTTCAATACTCATATTTTTTATTTCTTTATTACAACTGTAACTTGGGCCTACTTTACTGTGCTCCTTCCTTACTTCATCTGAACTCCGGAGTACGTACTAAACTCTCACTTTCTTCCTCTTGGTGGGACCACTTTTGCTTTGGTCTGAGTCTCAGCCACGGTATAGTTAATCTTTTTGTGTTCTGGCCTCGGTACAATTAATTTTTTCGGTTCCAATTCCGATGGCCGGAATCGGCACTCATTTTGTACATTTCTATGAATCATACAAATGTGTTGATTTTCGGGGATTATAGATAAATTTCTTAGGAAAAAGACACTAAAACCATGAACATTTTAAAAAAGTGATCCCGTGACGAAAATGGTGATTTCGTTACAAAGCTTTTCCCACTCTTCAGAGGCATACTTTTTCATTTTTAAAATTTTCATTTTTTCTACTGATACAATGACATCTCCACTATAACTTTCCTATTGAAAGTTTTTTCTTTACAGTTTTAGTTGAGCTAAATTTTCCAGTTCTGCACGCGGAACTCAATCTCGAACACTATTTTTGGTGATTCCATAACGGACCTATATTTTAATCATAAAATTCTCACGAAAGTTTTGAATCCTATGAAACTTTCAGAGTATGTAGAGCAATGAAACTTGAATATATTCTGAAAATTTCAGCTTCATTCAATTTCATTAAGTTGAGATATTCAAAATACAAAATGAAAAAAAGTGATTTCGTCATGCTTGGACAGGTTGTCCTCTCGCTAATAATAATAATAATAATAGATCTGGTTAATGATGAGAATCAAGTTGTGATTGAAAGAGATAATAATATATGATAGCGCTCAATACAGTTGCTAGAAATGCTGCTAGTCCTTTTATTTGTCTTGCTCTAGCCTTGTTGGATCGTGGGACTATTGTAATCTGAGCATTGGGAGGCTCAGTGTTAGTGAATTTAAGTGTGACTTCTAAGCCTTCATGATCTGAAACCATTAATTTTGGATCATTTTGATTCTTTTCATCAGCTGAAACCACAGCTGAGCCTATTGAAGAAACATATTGATTAGTTAAAATATAGTCCAAACGAATTGATCGGGCATAAGTAGCTCCAGCTTTGGGAGTCGAGTCCATTAATCTGTTAATGAATAGAGATTGCAGCATATCATTGTATTCTTTGCTACCATATTCTATATTTAAATCTCCACATAATATAACTCTATGGCCAGCATGACAAGTAGTAATATGATCATTGATTTGTACGAATTGCCTTGCACGAATCGCAGCTGAGTTTTGCATTCCTGCATTCAAATGAGTATTAATAACTATTAGATCTTTATTTGTAATTGTAATTTTACAGCACATATAGCCTTTATGAGTTACCAATTCAGATAAACTACAGCCACTGAATGGCTCCTGGTGGCACGGCTGTATTTTATGAGCAGATAAAATTAAACAACCACTGTCTTGAACACCAAACCATGGAGAGTCAGCTGTATAACTATATGGATACTTGGATTTTACTGTCTTTATTAAATTTGCCCGTTGACCAGAACCATAATTTAATAATAATAATGGATTGCATACAAATACCTCCTGTAAGCATATAATATCATAGAACGGAGTGGAATTATCCAACAGCCAGGAAGTAAAAGTGTTTAATCTTCGAGATGAATGCCACCCACCCACTACTCTATGGCACCATAAATTATATGTTAATACCCGAAACCCCGATCTACTACAGTCGATATTAAGTTCTGGATTGATTGGTGCTTGCTTGCACTTTTCTTCCATGCTTTTCGTTTCGATATCGAAACGTGCCATGTTGGTATTCTCCACACTTGAAATAGCATTTGAATTGTCTGGAATGCTTTGAACTTTCACAGTAGCCAAGACATTGTTAGCACTCATCATAAGCTCTATTTTCAATAAGAAATGTTAAAGCTAACAAAAGAAGATCTAGTTAATAACTCATTTTTAGTTAATTAAATTGAAATTCGGCTGCGCATTTTCTATACTGTCAAGTAACTAACTATCTCACTTAAAGGCAAAGTAAATAATTGTAAATTTCTGTATAATCTCCGCTCTTGGTGGACCGTAGAGCTTATCTCTAACATCACGATCAGCACTTTTGTGCAATCGATGGCATGGAATAAACAAGTTGGAAAACAGTTTAACTTACTATGAAATTAACTGAACAGTTAATGATGTAGTTTGAATGACTTAGTGATAGGTAGAACAATATTATTCACTTTTTATATGTTGAGTTGCATAAGAAAACAGTGGAATGGTGCAATATTTTTCTGTACACGTCATGTAACGTGACGACCAAATCATATGTGTGAGTCATCGAAATATTTTTACTTATTTATATTATCTGGATAAGTTGTGTATTGCAGAGAGAAAGGATCTTTGAAGATACTTCTCATTTCCTATTTATCCTAAGAGCCGGCTATAGAAGAAATGAGATAAAACAAAATAGAACAAAAAACAGATGTTAGTCCATACATCTACCCGCAACACGTCATCTAATAGATAAAAAGAAAAATAGAGGGCGCTTGACACTTCGTAGCTGTCCTGGGATCCGGGCGGACCCACTTTGCACTTTTCCATGTATTACTTCATTAATACTTTTCTTTTCGACCATTATCCTTCTTTAATCTCTAGTCTAATGTTGCCACATAACATCCTTACTTTATATCATAAATAGCTTTACAAATAAAAGACAATGATACAGGTTCCCCTGAACTCCAGGACAGTTACGGTGTTATAAAAATGATTTTGCGTTCTCCTAAAGCTAACTTCTTTCGCTGAGAAATCAAGATCTTTGTCAAAAACTTTGTTTGGAAAATGAATATAAAATTATTTCTATAGTACCGCCCAATGTTGAAAAGCATATTTTTCATCGTACTATAAGACTTGCGTTGTTTAGTGACTATTGTACCAGAACAGGAGTAGCTGCCTAATTCGACTTCGAATATAAATGGAAAAAAACACTTTTATGTTTTCTCGCAATCGCCGGGAAACGATTTCCTTTTTATAAATTATAAAATTCGGGTGTAGGTTTGTTGGTTGACCCCCAGAAGACAGTGTCTCAAATTCTCACCGTTCTCGGTTGAACTAGATGCTTCAAATTTCGTCTTCAAGGGTTTGTCGTGAATCGCTTTAAAAGCGTTGGATACATAGTTAGATATTGGAGATAAGAAAACTGGGGAGAAAATGCAGTTATCTCGAATCTTCAATATCAAGTGCCTGAATGCATTTTGGTGAAAGTTTCGATCAGAAAGCTTTCCTAAACTATGCTGAGAGTAGCATAAAATAAATGTGTCACCCAGACGGATGTCAAAAATAGTTTTAAGTCCGTAGTATTTTTTAGATAGCCGGTAGGATCAGCCCAATATTTGTTAAAAAGTGATTTTTCCCTTTATTGGTGGCATAATTTAGAAAATGCAAATCTGAATCTATTCCTAAATTATAAATAGGCTGCCAATTTGACGAACATTATCCTTTGCTTTGGGATAATTTTTAAATGGTCGCGTTTTTTTTTTCATTTATTTTCGAATTGTGAATAGTTATCCAGATGTCGATTTATATTCGAAGTCGAACTAGGTATCTCATGCATGGGTGATAGTATGAAAAATGGTGGCGATCGACTCAAACATCGAGAATTCACTATCTAGGAGCCAAGACAAGCTTATCTGGAATATGTAGTTTATTTTCGGCGTTTAGGAAAAAATGTAATTCAATCAGCAGCATTAAAAATACGAAGCAGAAATGTCGGAATTTTTCAGTCAAAACCTTTTGAATGAATTCAGAATAAATTTAAATTTTTAAAAATTATTGTTTGAAAAGTAATAGAGCTTGCCATCCGTATGTAGCAATCTGATTGAACCTTATCGATGATTTCAATAAGATGAAATGCTATATTAATCACTAGTCATTTTACTAATATTCTAAAATTTAATTTAAATAACATACCGTTTACAAATATCCAACACAATCAACTGCTCATAAGCTACTCATATATTTCTTTTTTTATTAAATTCTTTACCAAAAGTTGTTCGCAATGTGTTATTAGCACTCATGTCAACAATGATCGAGCTCAACGATTTCCCCTCCATATTTTATAATTCGTATGAGTTTAGGACACTATCTTTTTTGTTAGCAAAAATTCTGTTTGCTATAAATACATTACCAATCGAATGCCTTAAATCAATAATTGATCTATTGAGTGATGAGTTACGACTTTTCTATAGAATACTTTACATATTCGGGAAAAAACGACATCAATATGAAAAATGGCAAACTTTGAAATTTGCAGCATCCAATGTTAATTATAAAGAAGCAAAGCCGACAATATTTACTAGCATAGATAGGATTTTTATTCCATTTCTAAACAGTCGCATTTATGCATGAAAGCGATCGTAAGTCTCCTGAAGAACCGCTACAAATCGTACTATTAGTAGTCAATCATAGTATTATCTTCAATTTATATTATTTTTTCTCTAACTTTTAGGGGTTTTCTTTCCAAATTACTTGTATCGAGTAAGACTTATCAATAGATTTTAGTAAATCAGGATGCACAAACATCTCCAATAGATAATAGATTATAAATAGTTGTCAACAATTCTTGGTAGTTTGAAACGCTGCATTTTTTTAATCATTTGACAAAAATTCTTTCAATACGATCAACATTTATCAAATCCCAATGGAATGTGATATTGAAATAAACTAGAAAAGTAATTCCTTTGAAAAGTCGCCAGTTAAACATTGAGAAGATGATTTCAAATAGCTTTCTTTAAAGAAAGAGAAACGTTAGAATAACAGGGCATCATAGTTATATTGTCATGATGACGATCTCGAACGCCAGTCACTAGAATATAAAGTGCACAAACACTATTTTATTTTTACGCTGAACTAGCGCACTGTTTCATGTCAAAACGACTAAATGTTTTTGAAATCTGTTAAACTTGACGGTGTTGATGTGTCTCAATTGTTTTGACTAAGTACATATTTCTCATCGACCCTCATGCCGGCATCATTTTTTTATCAGTAACGTGTATTTGGGAACTGTTATTTGCTTGAATTCTTGCAACCAATCCATTGGTATTTGTGTAAAGAAAAACATGTTCTATAAATACTACAGTTACAACAAGTATTGTTAAGAGATAACAAGGATTTTTATGACTACCATAGTGTACCGACAGTAATACAAACAAATCTAAAAAGAAAAGCTTTATCGAATACTCGGATTTTCTATTATGCATTTAACATTAAATGAATATAAAATATTGAACATCTTATTTCATATATTTTGTGATATGATCAACATGAGTGTATTACTTTTTGTAATTTTCATCTATTATCGGTAAATGAATGTATCGAATTTCCTGAAGTTGAATGATTTTTACGCTCGAAAATTATTGTTGGAATATATTTTCTGAATGCTTTTCTAGAATATAGATAGAGTTAAAAGTCTTCATGGAATTCCTTTACAACAACACGTAAGATGAAAATAGACAAACGATATTCAAGAAAAATATTCCCATTATCATATGTTTAAAGATTTGAGATTTCCAAAAATAATCTTCAATATTAACAAAACGATCGTTGGGACTGTTAGAGCAGAATCATTTGAAACGAAAACTATGACTTCATGGCAAGTTGTTTTTTTAGATTGTGACTTTTTTCTCTTACTTTTCTTGAACTCATAATATAAAATAGAAAAGCGTTTAATACTAGGAAGGCATTTTTCTTATTACTTTCTATTCTTCATCTGTTTATTAAATTGCCAGTACTACCATTGTATCGCTATTATTCGAAACAATTGCGAGACACTGTTTTCTCTCAGAATTCTACGTGCTACTAGCTCATCTTGCATAGTTGAGCTTCATTCTCCCAGCAATGCCGAGAAGCTACCAGTTTTTTAATTAGTAGAAATTCGATTCTTCATAAATTGAAATATTTATAATGAATATTAATTGTATTAATGATATTGACTCTCATAACAATGTGTTAATGACAGCAGAACATTCAGATATTTCATAACTACATCAGAGAATAAATGGCTGATTTATTAAGCAAAGTGAGTCTTCATTTGGCGAAAATAGCGCTTCCAGTGATCATTTGTGCCAGTTTTATTGGTAATGGATTTAATATCGTCATACTTGGCCACTTTAAAATGCGTGTTCTCTGTACTGTATTGCACTTTCCTTGAATAATCTAATATATTCTACCACAATTATTGTTATTAGTATTTTGGGGGATGACTATCAAATACGAATAAGTATTTTGCCGTCAATTTCATGTAAACTCATCAATTATTTTGGCACTCTTTTATTGTATTCGCTCTTCAAAAATAGAACGACGCCATTTCAGTAATTTTTCCAGTAACAATATGTCTTTCACGCTTGCTCATCATCTCTCTCGTAACAGTAGACATCAGTAACGACGATGCATTGGGGTGTCGTACCCGAGGTAATGCAGTTTTTGTTCAATTCTACAGTATCTTTCAATTCATTATATTTTCTTGTCTAGGACCCCTTCTCGTGCTAATATTCGGATCTATGCTGTATGCAATATATAAAGACAACAGATGGTAAATGTAACATTGTCCACTAATCGTCGTACTGAAACTCAATTAGTTCGAATGTTTCTCGTTCAAGTGGGAGTGCAACTAGTACTCACTGTACCACCATGCGTAGCTGATCTACTTTTATCGTTTCCAAGCATTTATCAATCAACAGCACATTTTTACTCGATTTTTTTAATTCTTCGAGTTATATTTCATATTTCTTATGCTACACCATTCTCTGTGAACATTCTTTCGGCACACATGTTTCGGAAAAGATTTATTGAATTAATATTAAAAATATATCCATACATTAATCGCAATCGCATTCAATCAATACGACACATTGGTGCACCAACAGCCATACAAATAAATGTCTGTTGTGATGAATCTTATTTGTAACTGAAATCAGCAATAAATGTATATTGTTATCATCTAACATAATCGTAATTGTATGAAAATAAATTTGAATCATTTAATTCTGAAACGAATCTTCTTCTCATTAATTTTTACAAATTCATTATAATTCATTTTCCGTTAATAAAATAAATTATGAGCGGATACATACAAGACAATTTCTACAGATAAATCCTCAGATTTCAAATGAATTTCCACCAGTAAATGATGCAAAATATAATCTAGCAATAGCTTCACAAGTTCTGAATATTCTAATTTTATTTTTGTAGGTTAATAACCTCAAATATTAAAAATTCTCTGACTTCACGACAATATGGAAGTGAATACGAAAAACTAAATTATGATGCTATCTCTTCCCAGGTCGTTCATTCCTACAATCAGATCCAATCGGATCTGAAAATGGGTTGCATCGGACCTTACATGAAAACCGACAAGAACCAACAGATTCCGTCGGATTCCGGGTTTCGGATCGAGATTCGGATCCACAGGATCGGAATCCGATACATATCCGATTGTATCCTACTCTGGGATCCGATGCGCCAAAAAGTCTGCTATACTTAACTTCTAAAAAGCTCTTTAGCACTAAATAGAATTTTGATATTTTTTAAAATTCTTCCGTCGGATGTTTTAGAATCCGATAGAATCCGTCGTCGGATTAGTCGACCTGAGTTTTACATCTGTTAAATTTCTATCTTTATATCGTTTTCATGTTGCACCTGGTAAATTCATTTACAATCTAGTGTCATGTTTACAATCAGCAGCATCTTAAAGAAGAGGTTGTGCCTTTCTGTCAGACCAAGATCTCGCACTCAAGAGTCTCTCTCTTTTGAAGTTTTTTTTTTGGCTGTTCCATTGTATTTTTATACATTTACAATGTGTTGTAATATTCTATATCATAGCATATAGATGTAAATTTGAAATATGAATAACCTTAAAAGAACGCGATAGGAAGACAAGTTTTTTCTTAGAGAAGAGGATTTATTGAAGAATTATGTAGTGCATATAGTAGAAAATTTGGGGAAATCCGACGAAAGGCTAGTTACTTTGTCTAAGATCTATTGAAACTATTGAATGTGTTAAATATATCAAGAGAATATCAGAATTTAGTGCAAATATGTGAAGCATTTTTCATAGCACTGATACGGTATATCTGTATTGTGATGATAGAAAGAGAAAAAAAGTTATATTCTAAGAAATACTATATAAAATCAAAGATCTATGTAAGCCGCTCTTGAATGAAAACCATCAAAAAGCAAGTCAATATCTTAAAACAAGAAGCATGATTAGACTATGAACTACAACAGACAACGATCACTCCTACTTAGAATTAATCATGCCATGTAACGTAAACAAATGACAAATAGTGCCAGTATAGAAGGAAATAAAGCACAAGATTTTTTACGAGCAGACAATTCTTCAAAACATTGTCATTATCATGCGTAAAGGATTTTTCGCTAGAAAATTTAGTATTGATCGGTTACTGTCACACTTTCTTGACAAAAAAGAAACAAAGCATGATTATTAAGCTAATGAATTTTCCTCTTTTCGAAAGTAAACGAATAGATTGAAAATGATTATGATTTTATCGAATATATCCAACAAATTAACATTTCAATGACAAAACGCAATGTTGATACAAACTTAATAAATAGCAATCAAAACAAAATCGTATGATCACCGGAAAAAAATACTTGTACCGACGCTTCAATATAATGATTAATAAATCATAAGCTACTAATTTTCGAAAAAAGAATACTTGAACATTTTAACAGACATGAAAACGAGTTGAGAACAATAGATCACGATCGATTGATGGTATAGGCAGATGTTTGGTGGTCGATGTGTCTGTCGATATCCTTGTAACCCACGTATATCCACGCCCACAACCACACCAGGGAGTCCCTGTCGTGAGTCCCCTGGTGATTCTTTATTTGCGCGGACTCCCTGGGGATTCTTCCAGAGAGTATGGGCTAGGGTGATCATTTTCGTAAAGAAACATTTTTAATTTTATTGAGTATTGACAATGTTATAATCAGAATACTAAACATACAAATGGCTATATTCTGGTGAAATGCGGTACAGAAGATTTTTCAAGTAATGTTTACTCTACAAAACCGATTAGTCAGTTTCTCATAAACATAGAACATTTTGTACAATATTCGTTTGGAAAACATGATACATTTATTTTTATAATAAATATCATATGCAATGTTTTATCGAGACTTATTCGAACTGTTCGTATACATCTAAAAAACTTATTGTAGGTGCTCCTAGAGTACATAAAATCGTATTTGAAAGTATTCTATAGGTTTTAGAATTTTTGTGTCTTAGCCGAAGTAGCTGACTTTCAATAATATATTGCAGAATTTTGTGATATTTTGTTTATATATATGATGTTTCTTTTTCTTTTTTCTTTTCTCTATCTTTTGGCACATCGAGATTTATTTCGTTTGACTAGACTCACTTGTGTGAATCGCTCAGGCACATCGGCTCGTGTGCAACATGCGCATCTTGTGTATAGTCTTTCGTGAAGAGTATGTTAGAAAGCAAAGCTACAAACCAAGCAATATAATAAAGAATCAGAAATAAAAGTACGTACTTTGCAACACAGGTAAAGACAAATCATTCGACAAAACAAGTAAACAGCGTTACATACACCATACTCATCCCAAATAGCAGTACTTCAACACAATTTATTTTTCATACATCGGATATTATTAATATTGTTGCAGTGAGTAACTTATAAAAAAATAATACTAACAATACAGACAAATTTATTAAATAACATACGCAGAGACCAAATGAATATTGAAATTTATCTGAGAGATCGAATAATTGTTTAAACCGTCGATTGATATATAATAACAAGAAGGTCTATTTGAAAATCAGAGTTCTGCACAGAATTCTTATCATTGAACATAGTTTTGATTATTTTGCAGTTTTTATTTTCTAAAATTTCATATTTAGAGAAAGAATTATTATTCAAAAATAAACCGTTTAATTAAATCAAATGGTTTTTGTTTGTTCTCAATATATTCGATTGATAAACATCAAAAATGACTTTTTCCCCAAGAAACCTTGACCCAAATATGCTTTTTTTTTATCTGAATCAATCACCTATTGGACCATTAGAAAGAAATTCAAACGCATGAGCGGATCTTTACTAAACAAATTACATTTCACTTAGCATGATATTTTAATTGAATCAGAAAATTCATATGTTCATCCCGTCACTCGTGTGTAACTGAATTTTACAATCAAACACATCTCACTGCTCTCTGCCGCATGATTCTACCGAAGATTCGCTGATGCATGTGGATTTCGATTTCTAATAATTGCTATTCAATAATATTTCATTCATTCTAATTTATCTTTGCTCTAATAATAATGTATTACACTATACCAAGGATCAATCGAATCATCAGTTTTCCATGGCTCGAAATGCATTGACGTAGATTAAAGTGAGTTCTTCAAACAATCTAAGTTTCAAAGCATATCTTGTCGGTGCTCAAAATATTTAGCTGATCATTATAAAAACATATTTTCTTGATTCAATATTAAATATGACTAAAAATACTAACATTTTGATGTCATTAGTCATATGATAAGATTTTGAACAACACACCTGAATTTTCAGATTTATTCCATTTAACTGAAATTCTGTCTTTTAATTGGCTATTCTCTCCGTGTTCATAAGTGCTTATAGATCACTAAAACATGGAGGAATCAGATGCATTCTCATCTGTGCATTGCCACGATCCAGTTGATGTTATGAATCGAAAATCACCATCTGTCGACGGCGGATTGTTAAACAAATTTGTGAAGTATGCATCTTTGGTAAAACTCTGTTATAATTCTTGTTTTGTGTTTTTTGATTCAGACGAAGCCAGAAATTATTCAAGACAAATGATACGTTTACACATCAACTTCATCCGTATGTAATCGAAACTTTTGGTGAGGTGTTTGCTCTTCTCATTCATTGTATTCACACTTCTGAAAATGAACTATTACAGGATAAATGCAGTATACCTTTTTTCATTTGACCTTAATTCTTTATATGGATTAATTTTCGGAATGCGTTCCTTTAGTATAAACATAGATTAGTTTAAATTAATTAACAAATAATTAGGAAAATTTTCTCTAACCATAAGACCTTCCTCTTACCAGTAATTTTTACAGCTAACTTGTTCATAGTATCTGAAGTAATTCAGCATGAATTTGAAATATAGACATTTAGCTCTGGTAAAATTGATTATCTCTTGATACAGTGTCACCAGCGAATGAAATCTTCCTGATACAAACGTACAACTTCTTTTTCTTCTACTATCCATGCAATTAACCATTTAATCTACACCAATTCATTTCATAGGGATGTCATCAACATGGAAAATTTCTTCCAACAACAGGCAATCGAAGATGAACGACGACGTTTCTCTATTAATATTTTAACTCAAAATCGTATTATTATAAATATAAGTGGAGTTCGTTTCGAAACATACAAATCTACTCTGGAAGCTTATCCAAATACATTATTAGGCAATGCAAAACGTCGCCATCAGTACTATGATAGTGTTACGAATGAATATTTTTTTGATCATCATCGAGGATGTTTTGAAGCTATTCTATATTATTATCAATCACAAGGTCGAATACGTCGACCAAATTCAGTACCACTCGATACATTCCTTGAAGAAATTATATTTTTTGATTTGGGACCGGATGCTCTTGCACAGGTACGCGAAGATGAAAATTTGAAAGAACTTGAAAAAACTTCTTTACCTCGAAATCGTTGTCGCCGATATATTTGGGCCACCATGGAGTATCCAGAATTTTCATTCATCGCCAAAGTGGTTAATATTCTCTTGTTAGTTATTGTTTTTATCTCTACAACTACCTTGGCAGTCGAAACTTTGCCACAATTTTCACATTTATCGGAAGAAGCATGCGACAAAAAATATCAGGAGTATTCAATTGCAGTAAAAAATAATACGATAAGTCATATGGATACTCAATTAAGTGAACAGACGTGCGGATCCTATTTTTCATCACCATTTCATATAGTTCAGACGGTTTGTATTGGATTTTTTACCCTTGAATTGATTCTACGCCTTCTCAGCACACCATCACTATCGCTGTACGTCAAGGATTTCATGAATTGGATTGATATTATTTCCGTCATTCCATTCTATATCGGCTTAATCACACGATTTGTTTTTGAACCGAACGAGCAGAATGTTAGCATTCTCAATAGTTTGACATTATTACGTGCTGTTCGATGTGTTCGTATCTTTAAATTTTATCGAATTTTTAAAAATGTGAAAACAATACGTGTCCTTGTCGTAACGTTGAACGAGTCCATGTTTGATTTTCTTACTTTGGCAGCCATATTAACGCTATTTTCATTTTTCTTTGGTGCTGCTGTTTATCTTGTTGAGGGCTCCAGCAATAGTTCGTCATTCGATTCCATACCGAAAGCTACCTATTGGGGTATTGTAACAATCACTAGCGTTGGGTAAGAATGCTTGTTTCCATAGAAACTATACTTGGAACACATATGGAAAGAGAAAGAAAGAGACACGAAAACATTATTTTATTTATTTTTTTACATGTTTAGCTATGGTGATATAGTGCCGATCACACCTCTTGGACGTCTGCTTGCTATCATGTGTGCATTCAGTGGTGTAGGCACCATTGGTATGTTCGTCTCAGTTATAGTTGATCGGTACCAACGAGTATTTACACGTAAACTATACATTAAACCGGAAAAAATTGATTTCAATGCCTTCCCCGGCCAAGAAAGTGAGGATTTAGAAAGTGGACATGGAAACTATGCCCTTAATTCTCTTAGCACCAATCTCAACGACAATAAAAAGTAAGAAGAACTCCATTTGATCCATAAAAACAAAACAAAACAAGATAAAAACTGTTCTTAGTTATGGACTCAAAACAGATCTGCAGATTTCACCATTACCATCGCCCATACTGTCAAATACAATAAATTCGAGTCATCCTCGAAGTCATTCTATGGACAATGATGAGAACAGTGACAACACAGCAACACAGGCACTGCTCAGTGAAATGTACTCCAATGCGTCGAATCGACCACTCGAGAACCTTAGTATCTCGGTACGTATGAATTTGCAACATTTTTGTAGCTAATTGATGTTATCATACATTTAGCGAATTGTCGACACGGAGAAACAGTAATAGCAATATGTTGACGTCAATTACTTTCACTACTTTGAATATCTCGTATTTTATGTTTCACTAAGAACCATTGCGAATCAGTAATTGAGACCAAGAAACATTTAGAATTGCTTTTTGTTTAATAAAATATGAATAAATCAATATTTGTATTTGTTATTATAATTATAGGTCATTCCATTTATCTTGAACCGTAATAGAAATCATTTTATTCTTTTGTTTTCAAAACATTTATTGCAAAAGATGTTCAATATGAGATTCACGAGCACAGTAAATTAATCTACAACGCTTTGCCGAATTTTTCAATTCCTTCAATGTTGCCACATTGGCTTGCATCGAGATAAAACCAAGTTTCATCGCCGGTTACATAATTTTTATATTTTTTATTGGATAATCTTCGATACACACGCCAAACTCGATATAGTCGATGTACTGTTTTTTTACGAGATCTAACATGAATAACGTCCATAATAGTTAGAGAAGTAGTACCTGTAACGATAAATACGACTCTGTTGAGTTTATATCGTAATGACAAACTGGATAGAGATGGAGTAGCTTACAGCCACTCACGGCAATGATGTTTATTCGTTTATTCACATACCCAGAGTGTAACAACTTCATACATAACACACATATCTATAGGAGAGAGACAGGAGAGAGATATATTATAATAATGGAAAGAGAATAGAAGGAAGAGGAAGGAGAATCATCGAAGCGTGCCATCAATATCGGCACAGTACCAACACTAATATAACACATTGCAGCCATTAAAGATATAACTGGAAGATTTTCTTTATCAATGTAGAATATAATATTGAAGGTATTGCTGCATGATGACGACGATGAAATTGTAGCTTCTGATTATTTCATAAGCATAATTGGTGCTGTTTTTCAACCTTATTAGCAATACGACTAACAGGGTGTGGGTGTGGATAATCTGTATACAAATTCTACACTCACACCTTTAGTTATCATCAATTAAACCATTGAACAAAAATGCATTGAAATCTCTTATTGCTAACCATTGTTTAGTTTTATACGATTTGAGTCAGTTCAGATCATGTTCAAATCGATTTCTTTGTCGTCACCGTTCTCCAATTCGTCATTTGAATCAGTGGCGGAACCAGAGAGGGGCTAGGGGGGGGGGCTCAGTCCCCCCCTAGCGAGATTTTAGAAAATGCATTTTTTTATATAAATATGTAGTAATGTTTGCATTTTCATGTTTTAGCCAGTGTTGCCCGCTATGAAACTCAGAAACTCTCGCAAAAATCAAGAAAAAATTTCAAAATCTCTCAAAAATCCAGAAAATCTTCAAAAATTTCAGAAGAAACTTCAAAAAAATTTCAAAATCTCTCAAAAATCCAGAAAATCTTCAAAAATTTCAGAAGAAACTTCAAAAAAATTTCAAAATTCTCCAAAAATCTAAAAAACGCTTTCAAAATCTTCAAAAAATCCGAAAAAAAACCAGAGAAATTATCAAAATTCCCAAAAAAAATCCAAAATGACTTTCTAATTCTCGAACAATTCACGAAAATTTTTTTCGGGGGCTCGGCTTCCCCCCTAGCCCAAAATCCTGGCTCCGCCACTGATTTGAATGCTGCACCATTGACATGTGCAGTCCTTCTCAATAGAATGCATATGTAAAGAGTAGTGTAAAAGAACGAAAAAGTTGGAACAAAGCACAGAACGAAGCAAAAAAAAACAAGAAAAAGGAGAAAAAGGAGGCGAAGCGCAGAACGGAACAAAAAAAACATTGCCGTGCTGCAAAAGGAAGACGCGAGTCATTTGAAAAATAAACCAGCAAACAGCGTACAAGGTAAGATTTTTCTGTCAGCAACAAACGTAGTTGCTATAATTATTTGTCTGAGGTGAGCTAACTATTATGAATATTTTAATCTCTTAGAAAAATAATTTACTTGAGTCAAGATGTCGGCTTCTAATTATCTTGAGCATGCTCAAGCTATGTGTAGCTGCTACATCGGGTGGATTGAAGGAAATATAAATGATGTTCTTCGATAGAAACACACTGTAACACCATCAAATCGATATTTTTTGAGTAGCAATGAATCTCTTCAAGACAGAAAATATTAATTTTATAACAAAATTTACGAAAAAGGTTGAAAAAACATATCAGTAAACTATAGAGCAGTATTTGCCAACACTATTCAATTAAAAATTGGATAAGATGCGCTGATATATATTTTCAGTGCAAATGATCTATTCAAATTTACATCAGAGCAATAAACATTTAGTCTTGTGATCCAGATAGAGCACTTAATGATACATCTGTAGAGAAAACAAAAAATATTACAAAAATTTTCTCACATCCGTCATATGGTTACTTCTATCAGTTTCCATTTTTAATTTGTAGAGCTCTCACGACACTTTCTAAATAAGTCTATTTTTTATGATGAAGAATTTTTTTATTTTATTGTAAAAAGATAGTAGAATCAATATACTTAATTTTAGATTTTGTATCTCCTAACTCAGCCAATCAGTAGACAAAAATGAGCCTCGAAGAGCAAATACAAGAGGTATGAGACAAGTATCAGCTAATCTCTCTTTGCAAATGAAGTTCTACACTAAGACATGATGAGTTCTTCAAGAAATCGATTTTCTTGTTTCATAGGTGCGTATTGACATCGACGAAATCAAACATGTGATCGACCAAATCACTCGTCCTCGCATAAAGCAAAATCTAGAACTTCAACAGCGCAAATTCGAAAAGGAATTGATCCAACTTCAAGAAAAGCTGCAGAAACAGCAACAACAGGCTGCTTCTCAAGCAGCAGAAAAGGCAGCCAGTGCCAGTGCTGTACCAACTGTTACTCGATCATATACAAAAGATATATCAGTCTATGGTAGGACAACAGTACTACTCTGATTTCTGTTTGCATCCTAGTATTGATGACAGCATGGGATCAAACCGATAAATTTGTCAAAATCTACATTCAAAATCTGGACGGTGTCGGCAGCTTACCCGAAAACCAGATTCAGTGCTCGTTTGAAAAGCGGTAAGATTTGGTGATCAGTCCTTTCTCGAATCCCCCTTTACTTCAAATCGCACCATTGTAGTGGCTTTCATCTACAAATTCAAAATCTAAACAATATCAATTATTCCTTGAAGAGAATTGGTCTTCTGTATGAGATTCAACCGGACCAATCAACTTTCAAAGCTCGTTTTTTATATCGAATTGTTTTTTGAATTTCTTGTCAATCTCTCGTGCGTTTAGGTCAAAAAGGATATGATCATTGTGTCTTTACGAAAAGTCGAGTCAAAAAATTGGGAATGCTTTTTACAGGACGAGAAGAAAGCGCCCGCCAAGTAAGTTAAGTCTTTTTGATCCATCAAATTTCTTAATGCCTTATTAACTTTATTTTCGTTTTCGATGAAGACCATTTCCAAAACTTGACAATTCAAAGGATTCAAATGAATCTTTCTTGAATATGGTGGAGGACATGTACGAAAATGGCGACGATGATACGAAACGTGCCATTGCAAAAGCCTGGGTCCAATCGCGTGAGAAGATGAATTCTGTTGACACTGGATCACATAATAGGATGAATTCTGGCATCGTCGAAACGCCTGACTTCACATTTTATCCTCCTCCAAAGAAATCATGATGAAAAGACATTTTAATTTGGACTTTGTGATATTTTTCTTCTTCTAGAGTGATCCTTATCAGAATAAAAATCATTCATTCATCAGTTTTGCTTTTCTTTTTAGATTAATGATTTTCGAAAGAGAGTACCCAGTGGTGGTGGTGGTAGTGTTAGATTGGCATTAGTACTGACTAATGTGATGCTGTTTTCTAAATAGTTTTCAGTTAGAATTAAACAAAATTAATTAATACTACCCAGTTCGGAAGGGCATGACCGTAAACAAATGTAAATCAACATATTATTTTCTTTTATAATAAGATAACATTTATTTTTAATCAAAAGATTCATCTGGTCTTCCTGATACAACTGTTGAAACTTTTCAACCATCAATATTATCAACAATAAACATCAGTAAAATAAATTCACTCAGAGCGTTGGATAAGGCTATCCGTATTTTTGTTGCAACTGTACGGAATGCGACCGTTTAAACGACGTATCCGTCCGTTAATACGATAATATGTGGTGAAGTAACAACATCAACTCTTACTCTCAACAACAAAAACAATTTATTATTACTTGAAAAAGTAGTTTAATATCATTTTGTTTTTCAACATCTCTAAATGTCTTTCTATTATTGTTTAACATAGAATATTTCTTCGAATTCATCTCATTTACAGGGTGTGGATGCGGTGAAAAGATCTACACCCACACCCGAGGAATCAATGACAATAAAAGAATAGTTTATGGTTATTCGCATGTTATGATTGTAAAATATATTATATAGGCCAGATAGCAAGAGATTTTGAACTTCTTAGAGAAGAACATATGAATGCTTTCAACGGCAACAATTACTCTAAACTCGCTAAACATTGCCTCAATAATAATCATCGTAATAATGAGAATATTAGCATACCAACTATAGAATCTAATGATTTAAAAATAAATATCAAAGAAAGCGTGCTCATGAATTGGTATAGTCATAACAAGGACAAATAAGTGTATTCTACTCGTAAACAAGACACATTATTTTGGAGTGGGATAAAAATTTATTTATTTATTTATTGAAAGAAAACGTTTTCTTTGAATCCGGGTATTTGTTCCTTTCTCTTTTTGTATTGTTCATATATTTATTTTTTCTTATCTTGTTCTGTCATTTAAATTTCAGTAAATATCTGGCCGCCAATGCTTCATATTCATATTAATAGTAAATCTAACTCGTTTTAGTGCAGTAACATGAATATTTCAAATTGCATAGGTAAAATATTTGATAGTGTACATTGGGTTTTTTCGTTAGTCTCTTCTCGTAAGCGTAAAGGTATGATGGAATGACAGCAGGGGAAGTTCTGGTTTCTGATAAAAAGTTCCCTACCATATGTAAAAAGAACTAGCGATCACAGTTAACTGTGAGTCAATTTCCAAAACATTTGTCATATATGAGATACGAAAAAGACAAAAAAAATAACATTAGTGATGCCTATCATGTCGGACGCATAGTTTCATGTGCTAATAAGCGATGTTAACAAAGTAGTTGATTTAGCTTTTATTAGATATATAATCATATCATGTCATCTCCTGATATTTTTCATGTGCTCCTACGTTCTTTCTGTGTGAATAAGGCTTTCTATTAAACAGGAACTTACACAGAAATCATAATATTGCGAATTTGAAACCTTGGCATATTTCTTCTCACTTTCAAACACACAAAAGCATAGATAAAAACAGTACAAACTGAAAAAATCTCACAGATTTCAAACATTTGACGTAGAGGTATCATTTTTTTTGTCTCTCTGACTGTCAATCAAGAGATGACAGAAATGCGTTTGAGCTAATTGCATTCTGGTGAGTATGCTCCTCAGCGATATTCATATAATCTAGATAAAGATCATCGAGCCAAAGATGATCGAAAAGCTTATTTACAAGAGAATCAAATATCCCAATTGATGATCTCTAATTCAGTAATCTTCATTTCAGTTGATTTTCCCCCAACAATATTTGTTTCGACGATGAGATGCACATTCAATATTTCTAATCTCTTTCCTTGTTTTACATACATCTTTTTCTATTTTTCACAACAACTAATAGGTTGGCTATGAAAAATGACGCTGATGGTTCAAATTTCACGTTGCAATAAGATTAACTTCACAAGCTGTTAAAGCGACAAAAATCTATGTTTTAAAGAAAAGGTCAATTTCTACTTGAAAATCGCTATTTCTCTTTTCAAATGTTTTGTCCCACTGTCCAAGCTCGAATTTCTGTTAGTTGCCGAAAACAATTTTCTCTTGTATCAGCTGCTGGAAACTGTAAGTTTGCCAATTTTTGTAATCGCATCGTTTGTACAATTTGGTAAAGTGATTTATTTTTCCGAATCTCATAAATTGATAATGAGAGTAGATCATGTAAAATTTATTTTAATTTTTGCTGTTGTTTTGCTTTATTTGTGTAAGCATGCCAAGGAAAAAGCATCAAAGATTTACTGTGAATGAATTCGTATAATGATTGAATTAGTAAATACAACCAGTTATTGTTACATCCCTCCATGGCCTTTATCCCAGTAATATTATTTACTTTCTCACTCATATTAACTGCTTGCTTCACTATTCGTTTTGATGAAAGGAATTCTAGAGATCCCCGATCGTATTCGCGTTCAATAATTGACATTGCCAAGCTGACTACAATCTCACTAAAACTGAATTCACTCGAATCTAATGCAAATATACACCTTGCTAATGTGGATTTTTCATGGATCATCTGAAGAGATTTTTCAAATCCTTGATAAAATAATATCGCACATAATAATCTCCCAACTTGTGAATTCATATGAATTGCATCTTGAATGATAACTTCTTCAATTTGGGATGTGCTGTCTATTTTATTAATACCAATCGTATTTTCACAAGAAGGGACAACTTTATCCTGTTGATTCATATTCAATGGAGCTTGCAATTTGAATGGTAAACGGGAATCGGTTAACAAAGGAGACTTACTATTTACCACAATGAATCGGTTACCAACTTGGAAGTTCAAAGTAGATTTATACACATACTTTTTACCATAAGCAGCGGCCATGCAATGTTGCGAACAAGCATCTTCTGTATCATCGTAGACTACCTGATATAGAAACGTGTGATCTTCTTGTTTTTCATAATCTGCTCTAAGCTCATTGGCCATCGCATTCAATTTCTCGACGTCAGGCTGTCTGCATCCAAAACTTGACCAAAGATGATTTGAAGCGTCGCACTTGATTTTCTTTTTGCTATCAATAAATTGAAATTTGTTGTAATCGAACACAGCAAAATCAAAGTCGCTTGGTAGACAATCGCCAATACAGATAAAACCAGCATTCTCAGAAGAATTCATATGCTGTAAAAATAATTGAGGTTTGATTATATTAAATGCGGATTTAGAATTTGTACAAATAAAAATAATTAAACTTGCTGTATTCAACCATTGTATTCCTGAATGATGAAATGACCCATAGCGTTCAATACTCCATATTTGACTGGAATATTTAAATAATTTAAATAATTTCTCGTATGCAAGATATTCACTTCGATTAGTTTGAAAATTCGTAACTAGAAGTACATCGGTTTTAACATCGGGATTAAATTCTGGTACAACTCGAATTTTATCTTCACGCTTTTCAATTAATGTACCACGTAATAGAAGATGAATATGCCAATTTAAACTTTCATAAAGTTGATGAGAAGCATCGTCATCTAAAATAAACTTAAAATAAATGTCCTTTGTGGATTTAGGTGAAATTTCCCCATTGATTTTATAGCAACCTTCTCCTGTACGCTTTATTTCATACGGCTGTTCTACAGTTCCAGATAAAATTTCTATTAAAGAGTCAGCAAAGAATATTAATTCTATTGAACCAGCTGATTCCTGGCATGTACCGTATGGTCGCGTAGAAATATTAGCCAAAGTTATTTTAATCGTAGCTTCTTGATTGGGACCCAGAAAATTTGGGAGTTCAACATTTCTAATTTGTATCGGATATTGACAATTGAAAGTAGTTGGAACGTGACTGCCAGTAAATGAACGATTTAATAGATTGATTTCTGATGTTATTTCTACGGAACGCATGTACGGTTTATCGATTGAAACAGTTGTTGCCGGATTCAGACGACATCTAAATCGATGGGGATCAATCATTGTTTGATTGATGTTAGCGCCTGTGAGTACACTAACGTCATTGATGTCACTAGAAATATATTTCGTAGATGGAAATGATAATATAGATCCACTGGGCAAGCTCATCGCCCCATTATTTGTCCATTTCACATTTGTAATAAAAAAATCTGAGCCAGGTTCGTAAATTTCATCTTTATTTTCATCAGTCATAGTGTAATCCAAAACGCTGGCGTGATATTTATCAGTTCCTTTTTCAATAACGTTGCCATCTATGCCCACTATAGCATATTGAATTGAGCCATTAGTGGCAGTACGACCATCATTACCAATGGGACCATCACTGCCTTTACGACCATAGCTACCACGGCTACCGGCAGCACCATCTGTACCATCTGCGCCATCTTTACCGCATAAACCATCGGAGCCACCTGGTCCACCTCTACCACCGCCACCACCACTACCACCATCTCCACCTCGACCACCGACGCCGTAAGAGCCGCCTTTTCCACCCTTACCGCCTTTACCTTTCATTCCAGCCCGGTAGTCTACTTCAATTAACATGAATAACCGAGGATCTTCGCTTTGAATCTGAACATAACCACCAGCACCAGCATTTCCTCCGTTTCCTCCTGCTCCACCGTTACCACCATTACCTCCAGAGCCGCCGTTCCCTCCTGCTCCACCAGGAGCCCCTGCTTTACCAGAAGCACCTTGGTTGTAAGAATTGGACCCATTTTTTCCATCGCAACCACAACCACCGTTGCCTCCATTACCTCCTTTGCCACCATTGCCACCATTGCCACCATTGCCTCCATTACCTCCTACAGCTTTGATAAGAATGGTCTCATTCGATTGAGCTAATTGAATATCATAGTTGGCATCCTTAATGGAATTAGCGAGATTCCAGTTAATACCAACAGACTGTTCTGATGAATCGTATAACTCTTTGAATATGTTTAGTTGCATATTTAATTTTTCAACTGTTCCGTTCAATCGGACCAATGCGTGTAAAGAATCTGTACCAGATTTTCCACATTGTCCAGCACATCCATTATCACCATTACCGCCTCGGCCACCGCTGCGACCGTTTGACCCATCATTCCCGGGTGTACCATCAATACCAGCATTGCCATTTATACCTGACCGATCGCTAATAAAATTTGTTGGATCCATAAGTTTTACCACATGTCTCTCACTAACATTACCAACAGCGAAACGAGCATTTGATATGAGAGCTTCTTTCAGTGTACTCATTAGGTTACGTTTCCTAAAATAAATTAGACATTGTGATTTTTAGGTAGAGAATGAGTCATTGGCTGCTTATATGCATCAAATAAAATTGGCTTTTAAGCAAAATTAAAAAGAATTATTAAAACGCCTGCGAATTTAAACAATTGAAAAACATCAGAACGAATAATTGGTCTTCATAAACACTGCTATTACAGTGATCATTGCGTATGTTTCGATAGGGTGTGAGTGTGTTCGAAGCTGGAATTTACACCTACGCCATTTTCATCCATCTTTTCAGGAATCTAAGTGTCTTTGAAAATAACTCACTTTGAATATTTGTAGGTAACGTCTCTTTTTTTTATGAATCTTCTCTCCACTCTTAATGAAACTCGTCAGCAAAAGCCAGTGTGACAATATAACGTTCGACCCTTTTATCATTCTTCAAACTACCAATTTTTACTCATGGAATGAGTCATTGCGACAATCTCTACCCTAGCTACCACCATTATCAGAGGTTATCACACCATTTGTTTCTTGCTTTCTTGAGGGTGTGGGATACCATATCAGATGGTTATCAAGTTAAATGGAGTTAGTTAATCGAATCGCTATTAAACTGGCTATTTATGATAACATTTTGTATGTAGTATAGATCAGATTTGATGCGATATTTTTCGGCTTAAATTTTATTCGGCAAAGTTGGAATCGACGGCAACAGTCGTCGGCGAAAAACAAATTCAGTGAAGCTGAAATTTATCACGCAAAGCTTGTCTTAAGAGATTGTAATCTTTTATTTATTGTTATTACTTTCCTCATCGAACATTATGACGAGCACAAACGATAGTAGATGATTGTTACAGAGGCCCCCGCTGTAACTTAAATCAATTCACAAAATAGAAATTAATGTTTCTATTTAACCAATCAGCAACAAATTTTCTACTTTCGATTCCTAATCCGAATTTTAATCTCTTTCCTTATCTAATCTTAATCTGTTTTATTATTCTTTTCTTCTTCCTATTTATAATGCACATTACACACACACGAGAGAGAGAGAGAAAGAAACAAAGGTAGAAGGAAGAAAAGACATTTGTTTCTTCGACTAGACTATTTTGTATATAAAGATGATGGTGCATGATTCTATAAATACACTTAATTCTAGTCGAAGAAACGATGCCATTATTTACATCGTCACGCACGGGAGGAAAGAAAACACAATAGAGAGATATGAAGAGAAAGAGAGGAAAGAAAGAATTAAAAAGAACGGTTTAACTTATGTGTATCTCGAGTTGGATTGCACATATAAGAAACACAATATATAAAATGAAACAAGAACGTATAATAATCAAATAAATAAATAAAGTTTGTTAGAGTACTCTTTAACAATGATGGAAATCGTTAATATATACAATTATCTCATACAGATTTCGATCGTAAATAATTGTAAGTTGACGTTTTAATATGCAACATATGATGGTCATATTCTGCCGTGTCCTAAATGAATAATCACGGTACTAAAACAATCGAAAGACTGCGTATCAGGCTTTTTACAATAATTTACGATGCGTTCAGAAACTACCGTGATACAGAGTATATCAAACGATGAAAAATTAACTGCGATGGCCATCTACGATACTGTTTCTCTAACCTGGGTCTGTGAATGAATATGATGCAGCACAGGATTTATATTTTTTCCACTACGATTGTAAGATTATTAATTGTGCGTGCAAGTTTAGGTGTGGTATTTAAAAGATCAGCATTGATCCCCGCGCTACACCCAACATAATCGCTGAGGGATGTGGTCTGTCATCACAGTTATCAGTCAATCTGTTAATTTTTGAGGAACAACAATAAAAGTTTCTCTACGAACAACAGACTGTTTTTAAACTCCCATTGATGAAATAAAAACATCATTCTACTTTCAACTATTAGACAGCTCTGCTGAATCATTCGATTTTCTCTGCTCTATTGACTGAGAAAAACGGCACAAATTCGAAAATTTATATGGCTTATTTTTTATAACAAATTCAAAACGACATAGTAATTGAAAATGGAAACGATGATGAAAATCGAAAACAACAACTATACTGTTACAATCAGATACAGATAAAGCTGTAAAAATCGTAAAGGATTCTTGTGAATTTAAGAATCATCTTCAACCACATCAGCGTTTATATCCCAAAATTAAGCAAAACTTACAAAGCTAGTAAAAATAGAGGTTTCCGCAATTTTTCAATGTAGCTTTCACTTTTTCGGTTTCATGACCTGGTAATTCTGGTGACAATTAACAAAAAAATTATAAAACATGATGAAAACAATCTTTTTCGGTCTTATTCTTAAGAATACAAAAGTACGTAAAAAGTTGACGAAAACTTTTCTCAGAGATCAGAAAACTTCAAGAATAAAAAGTATCGAAAAAAACTTATACAATTTTGATGACAATTTTCATATCTGAAAAAATTCGTTTGACTCTTTTCTTGATCATCGCACTGGTTTTTAGAATGTTATATAATATATATATATATATAGTTGTTTATTACAAAGAAGGTCTTCATATGGTATTAAAATAATTTATTCTGTGAATTTATGATACCCAAATGGAAAACAAATATTTTGTTACAAAGCTCACAAAAAATATTTACCCTGTTTCAAATAATATCGTTCGTTAGAAGACTCATAAAACTTTGATATTCATATAAAATATTTTATTTCTGTCAATCTCTCGGTTCAAATAGAATTTGTTTGTTCAAATGTGATCGAGAATGATGAAAAATGTAGACTTCAAACGATATCATGAAAGCGTTCATTTCAACCTTATAAAAATGTGAAAATTTTATCTTTCTGTATTATATAACTTAATTACCCATACTATCTAGAAATTGGATTAGAACAGGAAAAATAAGAGTGCTGAGATCAAATGAAATTTTCTCCGAGTTCAAACCAAGAATTGTGAAATCATTCATTTGAATTCCTTCTTCTCTAAAGTCTCTGTAGTGTTTATCAATCATTTTCAATGATATTCAATCGTGTACTTTTGCTCTAGACAATTTACTATTTTGAGCCAAACAAAATTAATTCAGAAATTTTGGATCACTTGTCAAGTAAAGGCTGGGTGTGACTAGTAAAAGGCAACCATAACATGTTTCATTTTAGCTACGAGAATCCTCACATGGGAAAATCTCTAGATCGACTCATGAATTTATATTATTATACCGCAGTGTGCTGATAGAATAAATATCATGGAGTGCGATAGGGAGATAAATCAATGCAAAATAAATTAACTGTAATTCTGCGAACAATCCACTTTTCACTCTACGGCATGATGCGAGCAAAGAAAAACCTTTTTTTCACAGCAATGTTGCTTTTTTCGTTTCTATAGTCTTTTGTTAATGTTTTTTCAAGTGTTTACGGATTTCTTTCCTCGAACAACAGAATTCCATTAACACTTATTCTCTTTTGTGCTTTAAATTGTTGGAAAGAAAGCAACACCGATTTAATACTTGCGTGAAATGTCGTCGCAGAGGAATCCACGCCTAGCTCATGCGCCAATTTATGAAGAACCACAGTAATTTCTCAAAGCGATAAAAGGTTATGAACAAGAACCAATTGTTTCTCTCGAACAAGCATGCGAACCTCTGCATGAAATTCTTTATGAACTCAGAGAAAATATTCTGATATCTTAAGCTTTTTCTTACAGCTCTTTTCAAACTGTCGTAAGTAAGATTTTGTCGTTTTATGTTTCTCTAAATAGCCAACTTAAAAGTTACTGATCTTTTTCTTTCGTGTATCTATTGGAGTTCAGTCGGCTGTCAGTTATGGCGCGATGTGAAAGAAGACTTGAGCGATATTTATCAGAAAGGCGAGTATCGAATTTGGTGGTCATTCAGTTGATATACGAGTTCGTTAGATGTTCTTCAACGACCTCATTTTATAGGCAAATCAGGTACAAGAACCCTCTTCTCAATAGAAGGTTCAACGTGCGGAAAGAATATTAGTCGACATTCATATTATAAACATGAAAATGAAATACTTCTCTTGCTAGGAACCTATCTTGAGATGTGTAGTCTAATCAGTCGCACATATAAATTTCATATCGTTCATCTTCGTCAAATTAAACCACCTCATGAAGTTCTTGTGCCACCATTTGCTAACGAAGCATCTGAACCAGATACATCTCGTTCTGAGCTGTCTCCGCTAATGAAACGACCACTCCATTCTGTTCGGACTCCACAAGCAACATGCAAATAAATAAATGTTGAAGACAGTTCGGACGATGAGCCGCATCAAACACGTGAAGATTCAGCTTACGGAAGGTATTTGAACAGCAGTGTCGTAAGTGGTGCGTTAGATATTCAATCCTCGACCAAAGTCAAAACAAATAATGTTGAAATAGCAAAACATTTGCAGATACAAAAAAGCTCCAAAGGTTAGTCTCATTTTCTACGAAGATGCCTATACGTATTTGAGAATATTTCAATGTTAATAAGTGTTTTAAGAGAAGAAAAATAGAAGAATCTACGTAATTCACTTCAGGACAATTTCTTACATTCTAGTACGATTTTAATTCAATCAAGTTTTTTCTCGTTTCAGTCTTCATTAACACACCCTCTTCTTGATGTCTCAGATAACATGATTTTCTATCTTTTGTTTTTAATACACTACATTGAAATGAGCTATGTAGATCATACGGGCAATTCAATTGTTATCGAAAATACAAGGACTTTAGGAAACAGTACCGTAGATATGACAGGATGGTCATTAAGAAAAACGATTGATAGTAAATGTACGAGTATTTACAAATTCCCAGACAATTTCAATGCAAAAAGTCGTTTACCCGTTCGTATTATTGCTCGTAATACAAGCAAGAAAGAATCGACCATAACACGACGTGATGGTGAAACAATTCTTATCGCCGATACTCTTCCTGCCTGGGGAATAGGGAAACATGCGACAACACAATTGCTCGATGAGCGAGAGGACGAGCAATCTATCTATATACAAACGTTTGCATGACCAGTAGTTTTTTTATTAGAAAAATGTCTCTTTTTTTTAAAGAATAACCATCTTTATTGATATAAAGTCAATCTGTTGGGTATGAGTATGGGTATGGATTTAGAGAAAGATGGGGTCATATCTTCAGTAATATTTCATAGAAAATAGTGATAATAATTGAACTTTGAATGCGTCAATTCGCACAAATCATCATTGCAATGAAGTTTAATAGATGTTGACGTATTGAATATATGTCGTCATATAGTGTTTGTCTATTACGAATGCTAATTGTTAAGAAATGTCTATAAAACGTAAGTGGTAACCTATAGACGTTTATTCTGTGCTTGATTGAGAAAGTTATTTAGTTATGGAAAACATTGAACTGAAAACAAGTATATATTTTTTTTTCATTGGAACAATATATAATATTTAACATTGTTTCATCAAATTAGCACATGAATATTATATTGAATCATAAAGAAAAATTCTCAATCGTGGAGAAATTACATTGATTCTTAAATATCATTAACCACAGAAAAAAATGAAAAATTTTACTCTTCATCTGAAACGTAATAATAGGGAACTACCCATGTAAAAAAAATTACAAATAATTGGATTATAATCGATTATTCTAAATCCTTTAATGATCATAAGAAATTGATTATAATCAGAAAAGCTTTCAAACACAACAGTTAACCGATTAAAACTGATTAAATTTGATTTTAATCGATGAAAATGTGTATGAATTAAATCGATTAAGATTTGCTGGAAATTGATTTGAATCAGCCACACCATCTATATCTATACATAACCACTAAAATCTATCTGTCTTGATTATATATCGTTAGCTAACTCCATACGTCTATTTCTAACCCCTTGCACCTATCCCTAAACCCCCGTATACCTATTTATTTCTAATTGCCTAAACATTGAAAAAAGGTACCATATTGAACTTAAAAACGATTTCGAAATTTTCATCGAAAACGACACGATTTCTGAGTTTCGTAAAAATATGGCTAAAGACCAAGCCGTCTTTAGTTTATATTCAAAATGATTTCATTGTTGAAATTCTGTCACGATTCTTACGCGATAGATCTACATTTTCAGAATCAGCACCGGCAAGCTTATGCCGTTCACTATCTCTTTACTCTATTTGATGCAGCGTCTTATATGTAATCTCTAGCAGATTCATACAATGGAAATTTATCTTATTTACATATCAATTTAATACATATATTTCCCCTAACGTAACTCTTATCTATATACGTATATCCCCTTAAACTTAATCCATCTCTCTAACTTAAACCATCAGCCATAATGTATCACATGTTCTGTCTATCCCCTAACTGACCACAATTCGATCGTATTGATAAGAACCTAAAACAAAAGAGAATGAATAAATTAGGTTGTTGTTATTATTATTGATTTATTACTTACCATTTCGATGATATCGAATTGTATTCTAAGTCGAGAACAGTTCAAGAACGAATTGATGACATGAGGTTTTTTCAATAGTATTGAAATGGTTTCAGATTCGGAAAGTAAAATTATTCATAGAAGAAATAATTCTTGATCCAATAGGTTATACTGGATATTGTGGGTAGTTTTAGTTGACTAAATACATCTCAAACTGAGCGATGATGAAGATGGAAAACGAATATCGGAAAACTACAAAAAACTCTTTGAGAGGTTTGAGGACCGGAACTTTGTTTCATTTTCCAGAAAATTCGAAGAGAATTAAAAAATCTTGAGAGTGTTGGTGTAGCTGTGTTTACTATGCGTGTTTTTCACTCAAAACCACAATCACATGGTCGTGATATTATTGACAAGCGAACAGTTACCTACATCACATAAAAAAGACATGGTCGATTGATTCGTATGATTAAACCTTGGTTGAAAAAAAACCCAATACCTTTATCGTTAATAAATACCAAGAAAAAGCACATATAAACAAACAAAACAATCTCAAACACTTCATCATTACTCTATATGTAAGTACCCGATATTGTTAGTATTTTTACATTAACGATATTAATCACAGCACAGATGTTGTAGTCATACTATTTATTTTCATCATATTTTTAAACTATTGTCATTTCTGTTATTTTTCACATTTTTGACTGAAAATCATGACTTTATTCTGAATTTTCAAGATTTACCATGATATACCTATTTTTATAGTTACAATATATATGAAACGTCAACTATTTCATATAAATTATTATTTACAAACAGATAAAGATATTTCTCTACATAGATATCTATTAGACAAACGTAAATAAATAAGCAGTATCGAATAGATATTATGACTACATTTTGTTTTTGTGCTTTTTAGAATAGATATGTATACATTTGTACATGCGTACACTGTCATGTAGATTTTAGGAAGAGGATGTAGTTTTTCTTATTAAATATATAATAAATCAGCAGTGGTGGAATTCTCATCAAGCAGAACTTAAAAATTCTATATATACTGAAGATAATTCTGTTTCAAGAATTGTAAGTTAATTATCTAACAGACCTCTCCTTTAACGTTTGGCTTTAGTTTAAAGTGATGGAAAATAAATTGATCGGTGAGATTTTCATTGAAAAGTGAACTTCTTCATCATTTAATACGACACAGAAACTCCGAAACAACTCGAGCTACTGTATTTATAGAACATTTTGTTTAGCAAATTTTAGGGGTGCGACAGTTCAGCTTTAATCCCATTAGAAGAGCTGCTCAAGCATATCAGATTAGATCCCAAAAGATACGCCTATATAGATATAGACATCGTCTCAGTGTAGATCTTAACTTAGATCTGAGAACTGTCATGCCCCTAGCTAATTTGGAATTTTTATCATTTGTCAAAATCATCGATTTTGCATATACTACACTTTGGAGTAAGAGTGATGAGACAGAATATTCAGGTGACGAATTAATAGTTTGCTGAATACCATAATTAAAATATCTTTCGAATTTATGAGTTTCATTCCTACTTTACTCTCAAAGATTTTTCTATGTATATCGATGAAAAATAACCCGTTGTGGAGTATAGGATCATTAGAATAGCATTTATATCCGCGAATAATAAATTGTCCAATCTTTTCAGATAGGACCATAAGTCTGTAAGAGAGATTATGGACTACATGATAGGAGTACAAGTTTAGCAGCTAGATACTTTTCAGCTCTTTGAAATCTGTGTGAGTTCTGCTATGAAACAGATTTTTTTGGAGAAGAACCGTGGTTACCTCTATACTAGTTTTAATAAGCTCCTGTTTGACGCTTATATTATACTACCCATAAAGGATATGTAAATCAGCATTTTTGAATGTTGTCTGTTTGCATCTTAAAACCTTTTCTAGATTTTAAGAAATCCGACAAAACGAATATCGAACAGAAATAGAAATAGAAGAAGCAACTTGAAATGACATAGAGATTTATTAGGAGGATTGCATGTAGGGCTGGTACATTAACCTTAATTAAAAATTAAAAATTAAAAATTAACGTTAACTAAAAGCGTTAAACGTTAATATTAACGTTTAACGCTTTTAGTTAATTAACGCCGTTAATTAAATCGCATTAAATTCAGTGGTCCATTCCTACCTCGAATACGCACGATCGAAAACGATCCTATGCAGAGAAATAAGACTAAACAAGTATTCCAGTGCTACGACTCTTTACAAATTTCATGTACTAAGCCCGTGGATAGTTCCTACTTTGCTCGACATTGCACCATATACGATCACCACAATACTGAACCAAGTGTTACAGTAAAATGCAGCAGTAAATAGCCACATTGGCGTCGTATATAGTCATTTACAAATGCCTACCGCTTCCTTAATCATCAACATAGATCATAATTGCATGCGTCAAAAATAGAGATTATGGTTAATAAAAAAACAATTCCTTTTAGGCAGAAATTTCTAAGTTCTGAAGAGGGTGTTTGAAAGAAAATTACTGTGGCTACTGTTTTTTGTATAGATACGATATGCGCATCACACTTCTTTGATGGAATTCGCTAAGTAAAATTGCGCAATTGCCGTTGAACCTTAACATTCCATGCAAAATAAAATCATATAAAATTGCGAGTTTTCCAAAGGAAATGATACACTATTCGTTGTTAGAACTTTTGCTTCTAGTAGGAGTAAATATTTGGAAAACAAATATATTGATTCCATAGAGCTTGAACGACTCTATTCAAAACGTTATTTACTTACATACTAATTAACGATTTAAGATGTTATTCAATAGTTTGATGAAAAGAGCTCAGCTAGATCTCTGCTAAGAGATTATGTTTGTGATTAGAGCATATTCCTACGTTAATCGTGGTAGGTCTTAACGAAACTTTGAGAGTTCTAGGCCGAAAGGTCGTCCGAGTACAGTAAGAAATAGTTTGTGCTGAATCAACAGGGCTCGCCGAAATCTACTTGAATATCTGTTTCGCTAGTGGATGAAGAGCTTGCTATAAGAAATTCTTCTGAAAAAATTTCAAATTTTCCAACATTTGAATAATTTCTGATGTGGCCTAATCATTCACTCACGGAAGGTGCTTGCTTGGTTTAAACATGAAACATTAAACATGTCTAGTGTTCAACAATAGACAAGCCCATGTTGACTAAGAATGTGATGCCGATAAATTGTAGGGTGTGCTAGTGAGAATTCTTTCAATCTTGGCTATTTTTTTGGGAAGAGTTGAAAACGTTTTATGAGTGTTCGTACTAGTTATAGATAGAAGTAGGGCTATCTTAACGCTAAATGTATCAGTCAAAGATAAGTTTTCTATTGATCTTGATGGGAGCGCATTATAAAACTCGATTTCATAGCGTAGATTCGATATATTAGGTTGAGTATACTTCTTCGCTTACTATTTGAGAAATCTTCCCGTTCGTTATCATTTTTCATCAATGATACCATTTGTATGGGTAAATTGATCTATGGATATGCTTGTAATATAAGCTACATAAGTGCAATAATTAGTGCAGCATTCTTCAATAAGAGAGGGATTAGCATATAATGGAGCTGAATGAATGTTGATTGATTTATTACTTTGTAGAATTGAAACGTGATTATTAGCTGTGATAATGGCAACAAGAGCACTGCTCAAGAAACAAAAAGATAGACCAGACAGAGTAGAGACTGATTACTCGATGACAATTGCTATGATACCATTGAATCTGCGGTTTCTATGGTTTGATGAAGCGATTGAAGAATACGAAAATATGAGAGATGAATTTTGTAAACAGACCAACTGTGATTCATCTCGTTGGTTCAACACAACGAATAAGACCGAGTGCATTTCATATCTCGCGAGACAGCCATCGTCGGACAAGACTGTTCTTATCTCTGCGGGCAGTCTGGCTGAAAGTATCGTGAAATCTATTGACGAACAACATAAGAACAAGCTGCATTCACTCTATATTTATTGTCATAATCCTCAACGATATACAAATCTGAAAGTCACCTTGAGCAAAATGGTTCCAGTAGTTGATATATTTGTTCATCCACAGATGTTGATTACATGCATGAAAGAAAATTTAGCCATTGAATCACGTGTATTGTTATCATCAGAATTACATACTATTGAATCGAATGCAACGGTACTACCTCGACAACAAACTACAACGGCAGACCCGCAAAATCATCAACTCAGAATCGGTCGGTTCCAATACTAATATACGTGATACTAAACAAATATAATCAACATGACTCACAAGGACGCGCGACTTTGAGCTCATATACAAGTGCAGTGTAGAAAGACAGATAGAAAAATAAAATTTACTTGCTGAGATTGTACAATGAAATAAGTTGAACATCGAAATTAATCTATGTAAACATTTCAGAAAAGTGAAAAATCCTATTTTTGGATTATCTATTTTCGCTCTCTTATACCTTATGAAGAGTTGTATAAATCGAAAAGAGGTGTTCTCTCAATATATATTGTAAGTCCTTACATAGCTGTAGTGTTTTCAGAAAGAAAGGGAGCGAAACTGTGACAATCGCATGCAACTCTCAGTTCGCATACATTTTCGATGAAAAATTTGACAATAAGTTTTAATAGATATTATGGAACCCGATGCATTTCAATTTTCTAGAATACATGAATTAGTATTCATCCTTCAACTATTCGTTATTTTGCTATGGATCTTGTCTCAAGATATAAAGAACAAAAGAACAAAAGCGCAACCACATTTTGACGACTTCGCCAATTCCTACAGTATTTTAAATTGATGATATGTTTATTTAAGTAATTGAGTAAACTAGCCCACTGGTGGTGTATGGGACTTTCGGTATTCCATTTTATAGAATGAGTTTTGAGCTTTTAACGGCATGGAAAAAGATTTCACGTAATTTTTATCGTACTCTGTGAAATACTTCGTAATTCGAATACAATACCATACCTTTTTCAAAGTACAAGTAAATCCATCAGATATTGCTTTTTTACACCTAGTTAAAACATTTGTTTAGGTTCACACTCAAATCAAAATAATCCAGCGGACTCAACCGATATAATTCATATCATAAATCTAGAAATCGCTGAAGCTCTTGCCAACCACCGTCTTACTCTCGAGAAAAAGCCAGAATTGACGCTCGAAGATATAAACAAGGTAAAAATAATATTTTTATCATCAATGAGGAAGCAGAAAATGTAGTGTTTTGAAAATTATTAGGAAATGGCCGCTTCTGTAGCAACGGGCAAACACAAACGAATTGGATTTGCCGCTCACAATTTGAAGAAAGAAGAATTAGTGCAATGCCTAAAAAAGTATACCGATATGCTCCGTGAGCATAAACTTTATGCTACAGGTACCACTGGACTCGAGATCCAGAAAGCACTGAATGTACCCATAACGCTATTTAAGAGTGGCCCGATAGGTGGGGATATACAACTGGCAGAATTGATTGTCACAGGCAAGCTTGACATTCTCATCTTTCTGATTGATAGTTTGACTGCTCATGCTCATGACGTTGATGTCCAAGTACTGATACGAGCAGCTCGACTGTATGACATCCAGTGTGTAACAAATATCGGTGCCGTTGACCAAATATTAACTTCGCAATGGATGAATAAAACTAGCATACGAAAAATTCCAGTCACTGGATATCCGGAAAAGGCCACCAAATCGAAATGACAAGAACTAGATTAGTTAATTGATTTGTTGACATATCACATTATCTTCCATATTTTATCTATCTTCTATATTTTCATGCATTTTAAAATATTAATCAATACTTATTTTCTTATGCACGTCGTGAATTTTTCCAAAACATAAATAAATAAATAAATTTATCGAGCTGCATTTGCATGATTTTTACCTCCTTTAGAAAGAATCATTATGGAATAGACGATTCTTTGGTGAAGCAATTAAAAAAGGATCAATCTGCTAGTTTCAACTCTTACTTTTCAGGAACCGATCTAGTCTAAATGAAATATTATTAAATATTTAAATGTGCTTGAATTAAAATAATTAAATTAAATAGAGGTTAAGTTTAATTTCGTCAGCGCGTTTCGTGTTATTTATTTATTGAAATAAATAGTCTAAAATATGACTAATAACTTCGTATCTACTTTACAAAATAAAGAATGCAAATGAAACCATTATCTATCCTTCAATGCATTCTATCTTCTCCACTTCTCATCTCTGATACAGATTATATTCTTTCCTATGAAGGTGAAATGAATCAAAAGGTTATCTTGCATTAGCGAGATCTCCATACATATATCACTTTTCTGCTATTTCATGTTGGTTGTTCGTAAATTTAGTATCCCCTTGTTATCTGATATATCTTGATCAATACTACACTCGTGCATCGTCATCCCCTCATAATTGTGTTCTAGTAGAAACTCTAATTGAGTGATGAGGAAAACATAATCATTCGTTACCAATATTGTGAATATTCTCATACTATTTTTAAACGTGAACGTGTGAGAAAGTGGATAAGTTGTAATTAGTAGTATGAAAGCGTCTAAATTCGTCACATAGATAATCTCATAGTTGCTAGATCCTAACGTTCCATATATACCAATGGGTGGTCTTCTATTTAGTGCAACAGCTTATAATTTGTTTAACAATCCATATATCAATCTCTGTCGGGGTGAATCTTATAAATTTTTATCACAAAATGAACTTTTGCTTTCTTTTTCGCAGTTTCTTCCTTGTGCGATAATTTATGCACAATATAGATTCATAGAGTGAGTGAAGATATCAGTTTGAATAAATCTTATCTTTATTTTACATAGTTTTATTTTCTGGATAATTTACGACAAATTGTATATCGAATCTGTGAGCGGGCTAGTACGTACAAGCATAGTGCGCTATTTCTAGCATAATTAATTTATACTTTCTATTTTACTTTGAACATTCACTAATATCGGTATTGAGTAAAACGTTATTTAAAGAGACACCTTTCCTCAAACAATCTAAATATTCGAAAAACTGTAAGGTGTGCGTGTGGATGTGTGGATGAATTTTCTCTCATTTATACCCACACCCATCACTCTTATCAGATGAAATACACGGGAAACAACATTACCTTTGCATTCAATATCGTCTGCATGAAGCATAAAAAATAGAGTTTATTGGAAACTACCAAGAGATTTTCCTAATTATTATTTTGAGTCTAAGGAAAAGTTAATGAATCTCATCAACTTTGAGAGCTTTATTCACTATAAAAGCAATTAAGACAGAATGGAACGATCTGCCGCAAGAATTAGCATCAAATCTTATCGCTAGTATGAAAATACGTGTTCTTTGTGTCATTGATTCTAATGGAGATTATACAATGTATTGAAATATACCATTATATTAAGAAAAATATCTTAAACTTGTTTTATTCAGCAACAACATGCAACTTTTTCTCATCACTTATTTCGCCTTATCGTACCATTTTAGATGATTGTGCTGTTCACCTGATTCTTCACTATTGAAACTAGTCTGTTGAAAAATAGAATCCGAGAATTAGTGTGAATGAGAAATTAGTTTTCAAGATGATAGCGAATAAAGCTCTCCAAGTTGGTGAGATTCATTAACTTTTCCTTAGGCTCAAAATAATAATTAGGAAAATCTCTTGGTAGTTTCCGGTAAACTCTATTTTTTATGCTTTATGCAGACGATAGTGAATGCAAGGTAATGTTGTTTCTCGCGTATTTCATCTAATAAGAGCGATGTTTTTACATCAACAAGTAGTTCTGACTTTGGCCTACTTAGTGTAGAAAGGACAATTCAATCTAACGAAATTTAACGATTGTATAGGGTATCAATTTCGAAGTAAAGATAAATGTGAACCTCACTTATTATAAGAGATAGGCGCTTGAAAATTATATGGCATAACTAGGTTTCATACAGCATTCTACAGTCAAGATTTAAAGGAAAAAGCTCGAACCTAGCCTTAGTTTTCAAGTGAATACCGGACCGATTAAAATATATCAGTGCGGTGGTTGGGTAGTGATTCATTCATAACTACATGAAATTATGTCAGTTTGTCGTGAAAATTTTATCAGGAACAAAAGAAAAGACGCGCGTTCTAATGGTGGATGAATCCAATAGATTCAATCCGACAATAGAATCCGACAAGATCCGATAGAGTCCCTGTATGATCCCATCAGATTTCAATAGAATCCTATAAGAATTTCATCGGAATCCTGGTTCAGGACATACAGGCAGATCCTCAGTGGTGAAATCCGACGGAAACTTACTTCACGCATCCGGTGGGAAACAGTTATCATGAACTTCTCGTGTCCGCGAGTGGGAAACCGATGATAATCCTATAATTTCCGATATATGCACTCAGTAGGATCCCATGGGTCGAACAGCCCTAGGAAATTCCTATAAGAACCTACCAGATATCATCATGTTCCTATGGGGCACGTCAGGTTCCAACACTTGGCTCTTATCGGATCTCGCAGGATCCGATGAAAATCGGATAATATGCTTTAGTGTAGACTATTCGCCGATGCCATGGTAGCCCACACAACATCTAAAGAATAAGAAATTAAAAAATATATCGCAGCTGCTAATTTGAACAATAGACCCAAAGGATGAGTACACCATTCAATACACTATAAAGAAATTGAGTGGCAAATACAATTAAAACAAATTCAGCCAAACCGAAAAAACTAAAAGCTTCTTCCCTGTGTCCACCTGAAGTACGTGTCTAACGGTTTTCCAAACAAAATACAATAGTTTCCAAACGAACCAATCAACCTGGCGAGATATCTCACTGAAGCCACTACTCCTTCATGCCACGAAAAAAACTAGCTAAGGTTTTATCCAAAACCATAAAATATTACTTCGAACGTCACACCGGGAGATTATGTGCATTTTAAAAGTCTATACGATTGTACATGTCATCTCCGTTTACCAGCTTCATTCCCTACTAGCAACATCACGAGCCTCCACTTTCTTCGAAATGCTCACGACTCGTGAGCATATCTTCTAGTCAACATTCAACAAAGCAGCATTTCTGACGAACACATCGCAGCCGCGAAACAATAACGCACACACACCGCTTTTAACTGATTACAAATCTCACAATTATTCAAACTTATTAGATTAGGCCCTATTTCAGCACGAATATTTTATCTAAAATTCCAAAAACTTCTTTTTTCAAAATTAAAGCAGCACTGTTTCAGCCACAGTTGCATTACTGAGATTCAGATGTTCAGTTTTTCTGACTAATGCTCTTGTCTTGGAAAGCGAAGTTGATGAGATTGATTTTATTTAATGGAAGTATGTTGCTGAGAAATGTAATAATAGATTTTTTCATGAATTTGTTTCGTTTTTCTGCATATTTTGAGATGGATTGTGTTGGGTGATAGCGCGTGCAGTTTCTGTGGAATAGCTAGTGACATTGTTTTTTGGGAATAATTTAGGAGGAATCTTATTAGTTGAGTGGTGGTATAGTCCATAACAAAATTTTGAGATGCGTATAGACGAGTGTAGCCATTTCCAAAGAGACTGATAGGATTCGACTGGAATCTTATTTGAAACCTAGTGCCGGAAGGGTCATCGGTTACTGCAATCGTATATTATTGGATATTCATCAGAATCCGAATGTCGGATCCGTCACTGATTCCTCAACCAGGAATCCAACATCGGATTCATTCACCTGGGATATACAGACAAAATATCATACCGCAGAATAACATGCCATTCAAAGGCAACCTAAATGCGAAAGAAAAATTCTATGCAACAATAGTGTGATACTTATTTATGAGTTAAAAATACCGGCGAATTACGAACAGAAACAAATTTGTCTTATCCGAATTCGAATATTAGCCAAATACCACGATAATTTTTCAGAGGGTAATTTACTTTTGAATAAACTTTGTAATTCAAGTAATTTCAATTCTAATGCAAAAATTGCTTTGTGTTCAGTTTTCTAAGAAAAAAGTACAACAGTACCAACTATAATACTCAGTATCCAGTGTCTGCTTCAAATCGGTCATATTCGGCTCGACATGCGACTTACTCGACTGTATTGTTCATGCAATCGATTTGCCTATATTAAATTTGAATGATATTCTTTGGTTTTCCGATGTTGGTTCGTACACGAGCGGCGCAGCATCAAACTTTAATGGATTCAAAACAAATAAATCTGTTCTTTTTTGGAATAAATGACATGGAGCTCAACAAAATATTTTGATAATAAGAAAGGATATTTTTAACTAACAATCTCTTGATTATAAAATAATTACTTAATTAACTTACCTAAGGTGGCAGTAATGTAAAATTACAGCATCACTTTTTTTTTGCTTAAACATACAACCTTAAATTCTTCCTTTCAGGGTGTAGGTGTTCTGTTCAAATACTCTCACACCCACACCCACACCCTAATAGTTTAGCTATCTTGTTAAAACGTTTTCGAGATGAAGAATACTCACAATTTCTCATGGTTATACCTCAGATGATTTTAGTTTACACATTGAGCAGTCATATTTTATTCGTAATGTTAGTCAGAACTAATGCTTGATTATAAAGTAAAATAACAACAACATTATCAGAAAAGGCTGTACAGACAATATTTAATTCAATCAGATACAGTTGAACGACTGCTAGGTAAAATACCCGAATAATTTGCATGTGAAAGTGGGCAACCATCTCCTGTATCACCTCCAGTGCCCCACCAGGTGGGAAATTCGATTTCATTGTGTTGAAGTGCAAAGAATATGACGAGACCACAGATAGCTACTCCACAGTCCATCGCTGCCGAAAAAACATATGCATAACGTTTCCACCAAGAATGTGCATAGCGAACTAGCACGAAATTAAAGAAGAAACCAACGAAAAGCCACGATGGATAATTACCAGGCGGTGCAGGTGGCATCATGGCTGTTGCTGATAGCATGATGGGAAAATGAACATGTTTTAGCCAAGCAGCATTCGGAAATTTTCTTAGTAGAAACCATACGGGTATAGGAAGAAATGCACCAATTAGAAAAGCATAGAGAAGTGATGAATAAGTTGATCCTTTGCCGAACATCTTCACTGGACCTAAAATACATACGAGTCATCATTGTTATAGGATCTTTGAAAAATAAACAAACTCCATAGTCTTTCCCTATTAAAACTAGAATATATACGGGCTGATATTGGACTTCTCATGAATTAAATAAGATTTTATTTTCATTATTCAACTATACCGATAGCTCCCCAAATAATGGATGCACTGTAAAAAGTATTTGCATTTGGACATGTCCAACGAAGATTGCGTTCAGTACAAATATTTGGAATTGTAGTCATGAGATAGTCGGCTGTAGCATAATTGATGATTCCAGCTATAATTGTGCCTACAAGTTGAGTGATAAACATGGCACGTGGTGGAATCTAATTTAATTTAAAAAGATAGCAAAAATGTAGTTGAGAATTGCTAATCTCAACAGGGTTCTGCTAGTTTCAAGTATTGCATGCTTTAGTAGCAAAAATATCACCTTCATGTAGTGGCCCAGTTTCAAATCCGAAATGAGTGTTAAAGCTTGAGCTTGTGTAATATATCCATATGTTTTAAATGTTACATTGGCCAATGGATCACCGGGAATGGCAACACCAGCAATAAACTCTGCAATAACATTGAGTCCTATTCAAAGACTTTGCTGCTCAATAAAAAGGGCAAGATAAAAGATTGATTACCAATTCCCTGATTTGAGACTGCTAGTACGATACCAGTAGGTAAAAGCAAAAGAAAGGCACTCGCAACAGCCACTAGAAAAAAGAAAATCATTCAAAACAAGTAAAGTTAGTTGATGACTTGGCAATGATCAGATTGATCCTTACGAAAAAGAAAATACCATGGCATTAATTCACCAAAATGACACACAAGAGCGGCAATCACAAAGGCAACAACGAACAAAATAATATACCTATTCAAAAAATCGAAATACTATCGTTCTTTTAAAAAAAGTAAATTCAATAGGACAGTATACCACCACTCTGGCGCGTCTGAATAGTAAGACATAAGCTTTGCATGAATGTCTTCATTAGTATTTTTCAAAGACGATCGAAATTGTTTCACAATGGTTTTGCCTATTCGGTTTGAATGGAGAGAAAATACATCTGACAAATTATAGCAGTATCTTTACTTACCATTAAATAGAATAGTGTGTACAATGACAGCAGCAATAGCAGCAAATGAAGCACCATAAGAAAATGCAAATATAACTGTCATTCGCATTTCACCTACGTATAAAATAATTAGTCGCTTTTCCGAACTATTTCCAATAGTTCTTAATCAAAGTAAAGCTCCTACAAAATAATAATGTTCAACTCATACTGGCATTTTTTTTTGTTATAAAAAGCATTTGGCACAGCTGTCAGAAAAAGACTAAGAGTATCATTAAGATTGACTTACCATAGGTGTTATATGCAGTTTCATTCAAACGATTTTGTGAGTTGAGCACTGATTTAATATTATAATAATAACCATCTTCTGTGAATACACGCGTACTGACCATGGGAAAAGCTTTTGCACCCCAAAGATTGGTGTAGTAAGCGGCAGGTGTCATTATCCAGGCCAAAATAACAAAACCAATCATAATGTTAATCTGAGCCCTGAATAGAGCGAATGAAAGATACATATATTGTAAGCAAAACATTGTATATTTGATCAAACAAAAAAAGAAATCAAAACCCTTCTGCTGTTTGAAACCAAGTTCACTCACCAAAATGGAACGATGATCGGTGATCCAAGAAACGATACCCAAGCATTCCAATCTAACTCCAATGAACCAAGTCCCAGTCCATTGACACCAGTAAGTTGTGACAATAAAATATTGTCTGGCTTGATCACACAGATCCAAGAGAAAAGAGAAAGAATCGGAAAAATATAGCCTGGAAACCAGTACCACAAAAATTGACAAAGAAATGCAAGAAAAAAGAAACGAAAACGAGACATGGTCCATCGAGAATTGTTGTTTTCTTCCTGCATGTTGTCATCATTGCCACTGTGTAAAGTACGAAAGAGAGCACAACTAATCAGATTAGCCGGCCAAATCATAGCAGCTGGCCAGACAAGAAATCTACGCATAATTCCAGCCATTTCATAGCCTAAAGTCTGAGATGTAATAACAAAGAGAATACCAACACCATAATTGATGGATCTTTTATAGAACAAACGTTTAATAGTAATCACATCAATTGCATATGCAGTACCCTATTTTAAAATAAAATTTATCTTTTGCTAAGTATCGATATATTTCTCTTTGTGTTTCAGTGGCAACTTACTCCTGCTGCACTAGCCATTGCTGTAATAATGCAATGTTCTTTGATGGTGAACGGGCCTGGATTGAGACAGAAACCCCATCGCCACACCTTGAATGTTCGGCGAGGCAACACTTTAGCCATGATTTTGCCAAGTAAATGTGATAAAAGTTGTGCAACAATGACACCAACAAATAGGGGGGAGGTACGATACCAGAAAAATTGATTCACAAATGAAAGTAAGCATGTGAATAGAAGACTGATGATCCAAGATCGTAACGTTAAACAAGGCATATCGCGATCATCTTTGTTGGACACATTGGCAGCAACTTCTTCGTAAGGCGATTGTTCATCAGTTTCTATATTAAAATAGGCAGGTTCAAACGAAGCAGACAATCTATCGATATTGGAAGGAGTGGACGAAGAAACGTTCGATTTTTCAACGTTTCTATGGACAATATCTTCAGATAGTTCATATACTGTTGACATAGACTCAGAACGAGAATCGGCCATATGTATAGGTGCTAGGAGCTCTCATTTGGTCTCTTTGAAATGATTCAACTACAAAAAAGCGCCTTTTTATAGTTATGCATGGTTACGGTCGTCAAAAATTGATGAGTAACAGTTTCGATCAAGTATAGCAGTACTAGAGCAAAAAAGGCAAAAATAAACAATTAATAGGTTACAAAGTGTGCTCATATTCAATCTACGTCTGTGATAAAAGCGGGAAAAATAGAATAAGAAACCGTACAGTGCAAGAGAAAAGGAATGAGCTGTCATTTTCATCGAGTTTGACCGACAAATATTCATTTGTTCTATGAATACTTCAAAAATCATATTTCTTCGTTAATTAATTTCTCTCTTCCTGATATTTTTGAAGTGTACAATTAAAACTCGAACTATGCGAACTCGCTGACAATATTAAATATATAAAGTATCCAAAGCACAACATAAGTCGAAGGGATTTTTCGGAGGTTTCATACATAAAATGATGAAAAACCAAGAATATCACTAAGAATCAATAAAAACTTTGATTAAGTGTACATATGCAGCTACTACGCAACATTGATTCTGCCTTTCAAGAAGTCAACCCGAATTTTAAAATTTGTCCTAAGTATGCAGGTTTTTTTTGTCACAAAATACATTGGTTGATTAATCTGTATTACAAATATGCTTTTGTTTTTATTTATTATCCGTCATGCTGAAAATATAACTAAAGTCAAAGTTGTGGTAGAATCAAAAACAAAACAATCATTCATACGTAGATAATACAACGTCAGTATGGCGATGAAATAAAAAAAAGAAAAGTAAGTAAAATTCGAATTATCAACGACGATTAGGAATTTCAAAAGAAAATCTTGGCTCTTCTTTCGTCAATTGAAGATATTCTTTTGAGGATTCACGACGTGTCCAATGTAAAACAATTTCTTGATCTGATGGACATGACTTCACAAATGCATCCAATTCATAAGCAGAAGCTATATGGAAAACAAACACATAAAATCTCATTTGTTTTTTCAACAAAACTTAAACATACCAAGATAATTCCATAGAGCTGAAAATTCTACTGGAATCGATAAATTTAATATATAACTAGCAGCAACACGAATATGTTGCAATTTTGGCCACAATGAACAATCAAGCCCTGTTATTCGATTTGCCGATATGTATTTTGTACCGCGTTCTCGAAGAAATTTATCGATCTTTTCTAATTCATATAAAAGTGTTTGTGGATTAGTATGAACATCTTTAATTAAATATGTAAAACGTTTAAATACATTGGATTGTATTTTTAATGCTTCAGGGTCATCGAACGATAATTTATAATTTGGATATGACGAATCAAGATAATCTTCAATATCATCAACATCGTTCAAGACAATATCACCATGAACGAGTGTAGGTAATTTTTTTGATATTTCTTTGAATTCTTTTGGTGGAGTTTTACAATTGATTGTTATGACATCAAAACTAAACTCACTATCGGCTTCGCGTTTAATCAATAATTTTAGAAAGACATCTTGACAAAATGGACATGCACCCTTTGATCGACCATCAGTGCCAGCTTTAAACATAGAAAAATATCATCGGCGTATATTTTTTCGAATTGTTTTGTGTTTTTACCTTTAATAAATAAGTGAAGTTTTTGGTCGTCTTCATCGTTTAACAGAGTACGCTATAAAAGAAAAAATTGAAAATTAATCTTTATTCGAGATTAAACTACTCACAGGATCAAAATGTTCTTCTTCAACTTCTTCAGCCATCTTTCTTTTATTTTCGCAAATATTTATTTATCTTAGTCGTAAATGTATATGAAAACTATTTTTCTCTATGTTTGGTATGCGTACGAATGCGTATGTCTTTGATACAGGTAGACAAATTAAAGTCACATGGTGATAAAAAAAAAGCACGATGATGTCGACAAATAACCGTCGTTTTTTTCTCTGTCTTTTGTTCGATACTGAAAGACACTCTTGATTGGCGTGTTTATGCTCGTATATATCCTACGCTTGGTTCGAGAAAAAAGGGAAAGAATAGGTGACGTGTGAATTCTTTTTTTTCTTCTTCTAGTATTGTTATGTGTTTTTTGTCTATCTGACTAACTAGATGAGTATTCAATGAAGAAAGAAAAGAAAATGTCTGTTCAACTTCAAACATGTGAATCGATTTACCTTTTAAAATGCAAAAAGAAAAATATGACGAGCGAAAGAATATGTTGATCCAAAATGAGGACAACGACATTATTTTTATTGCAATACATATGTATCTGTTTAGTTAATATCTACTCACGGATGACGATTTTCGACTAAACATTATGTGCGTAATATGATCAGCAATGAGACAAGTTTGAACTTGTGCGATGTGAGAAAAGATTAATCGGCAGCCAATATCGTGGAAAAAGGAACAAGAATACTGTCTGTATATATGCGTGTATATAGGAACAGCAGAAAGTGAGTGTGAGAGAGAGAGAGGAGCAGGTAGAAAAAGGAAGAGAAAAACCGGTAAGACCCAAGGTTCTGATGCCATTAATTTTATATCACGGAACCTTTCTTCTTAAGAATCGAAAGAAAAAGTGCCAAATCGAAAATGATTAAGTATATAGAAAAGAAAATGCTGTAAAAATTGTCTATGTTTTGATAAAAAAATAAGTAATGAATAAAACATAATTATATACATACTGATATGGGACGATATTGATTGGAATAAAGAATTGGTCTTGGGAAAAGAATTACTTCCATATTATTTTTTCTTTTTCTTTTTATTGAGCAGCACAATTACAAAGTGAGAACGTTTCTTTTTATTTTTATATGCCAATATATATATATATATACACGTACACAGGAGTGTTAGTAAATGTACACAAAATTAGATCAACACATATATGTGAACGAGTGCGTCGCATCCATTGAGCATAATGTTGTCGTTTTATTTTGTTGGCTATACTATTTACACTCGACTTCTCTCGTTCTGTGTCTCTCTTTTTCTTGTTGGAAGTGATTAGAACTCTCTCCTCTTTCTATCTATTTTGCCCTCTGGCGATCATTTATGTATGTATAGGTGTTTCTTTTTTTCGTTCTGACCATCATTTATCTTGTTGATGTATCGTATACGATGATAATGATTGTATTGAGTATTTATGTTTAACAGCTTAAAAAAAACAGAAAAGAAGAAAGAAAAAAATGCCTACACTACGACCATTCAATTTCATGGTACGAAAGGCTTTACTGTGGCCTTTCGTAGAGTTTTCGTTAACCTTCATAATTAATACTATAACAAGAACACAAAATAATAAAATTTAGGTGAAGCATACTTGTGTCTGTACGCTGAATGCGTATAAAACGAAACGAAATATTTATCTGATCGCTTGTTCATATCACAACAAAAACAATAGATAATTTAACTTGACAGTTTCATCTCTTAATTTGAATAGAGTACATCATGCATGTCTTCAAACGATGCCTCATTAGTTTTTGTTCATGTCAATTCTCATATCAACAGGAAAAAAAGTGTTAGTGTTAACTTTTCTAAATTTGCATGGGATTACATCTGAATCGAACCGTATTGATTTAAGAAATTTCGATTAGAGATGAATCAGCTTTTAATTGTTCTAGTTATCGTTCGATGATCGAGTCGTTTCAAGTCATTTATTCTATTCCTGTCGCTATATTTGTACGGGTTAAAGTATTAGTTGTTTTCAATGTAATAAGTCGGATAGTATTTATATTAGAACATTCTGCCTTATTATACAAATATCGACATATCATCATGAAAATCAGGTTTTTTTTCTTGTTGTTACTAGATTTAAAAAAACATCATGAGAAATCCGAGGCCGTACACATATAGTTACACTGCAAACGCTATCTGATAACCAACTGACAAAAAGAACGCTGAAGTAATGATAAATTTTTGTTTGAATGAGATAAACGAAAAAAAAATATCAGAAAATTTCGTTGCAATCTGTTTGCTTCAGAATATATTGTTTGAAAAAGTTCTCATTTGGACTGAAAAATGAATTTATTGAAACTTATTTTACTAGGAAACAAAATTTTAATTAAAAGAAATTAACATTGACAATTGAGGTTAAACGACATTGAAGTTCACACTATTTGTTCATGATAATAAAAAAAACGCCTATTTTCGCAACTCGATGCATGCATGACTTTGATAAAAATTAAAACGTTTTAATAGTAGATTCCTGATCCAAAGAGAAAATCAATGATTAAAAGTAGCACAAGGTCGTGTCTCTTACTGTTAATAGATTATGCAGAAGGTCACAAGTAAAAATGGCAAGGGTGAATGTGTTAATTCTAATTTCAGTCTGATATGAGACGATTATTAGAAGTTTATAAGACATGAACAAAATTGAATAAAAACTCTTCTTCAATGAACTCTGAACTAATTATAATCATTTATCATCATTCATCATTCGACATATTTGGACATGTGAATGTTTTCATGTTCTGTCTGCATGAGTCTATAGACAAAGCAGCTTTTACTATACGCGTATTAATCTTTCAAATTTTACTTGTCGTTTTTAACACTTGGTGAGTTATATGTGAACAAAATTTAATTGCGCTTATTTTGCTTTCGTGATTAGTAGCCGTTGTTTTGATTTATATCATCGAATTTCGATAGAAGATGGAAAATGTATAATATTGAAAAAAACTAGGTAAATATTTATGCTTGCTGGTACTCATGTAACACATCGGTATTAAAAATCTCTGAAATAAAACGAACCTAAGATTTCCTATTCAAGAATTTGTCTCGGTAGCAACATGGTAAACAACATAAGCTGCTGTTTTTAAATAATATTTATAACTCTCACTTTGACCTAAATAATCTTTATAACTAAATGAAACATTCATCTTCTGATCACACCCGTTTTTTTAAAGTATTTGTATTGCTGCTACCGCTGTAAATTGTAATGTCATTTTGAGCAGTTGAATTAGTAGGGATAAGAGAAAAAGCCTTGCGAACAAGCGGTTAACGTTGTAAATATTAGTGAATTGAAGCATTTTCATTTCTATCTTGAATAAATAATTAACCGTTATAAATAAAAATTAAATTTTTTTATGTGCATAGTTGCCATAGTAAAATGACTATTGAAAGATGCATCGATCATCCGATAGTAGGAAAAATAATTGAAGAGAAATATTTGATAAATGGCTTATTGTATGCGACTATGCTTTTTAATTAGTGTTGATAAATACGTACAAATCTTGGCTGTATTCGAGGACATTTTTTTTTCATTTATACAAGAAAACAAATTGTCGATAATCACTGAAGTCTGCAAGGCATCATGTCTTAATTAAATTGAACAATTCTAATTTTAGTTCTGTTCAAAGGATACATAAGGAATAAATAAGAAATTCTATGATTCACTCGATAAGTATCAAATAGAACTTATGAGATTGATTGACTTCCTTGGACTACATTATCCATATTTAAACAATAATTTCCCAATCTTGTAAAATATGGGAAAAGAAAATATCAAACACTTTGTCAATAGGAATCGACGAACTATAATGGATGACTGTGTTCTACAATTTACTGTCGCCATTACTTATCACTTATTATTTTTAAAACTACATTATAACACGCAATAAAAATAGCACACAACCACTAATTTTATGTATGCACCGTTTGACTTCGCAATGAAGAAACAAGTTCATAGCTGTGAATAAAATTATTTCTTGGTAAAAAGAAAACGAATGCCTTCTGCCGTATGCTGTAACTAATGATTGTATTAATAGCAGCGGCCAGTCAATATTAGATACATAAAATTGTTCTCAATAAATCTTGTCTATAGAAAAAACATTTTTCTTTTCCAAAGCGCCTACGCAAAAAAAATGTATCTCAACATGTATGTTGATAATCGTAGAGTAAACATACTTCATTCTATACATCAATAGAATTTTTATTGATTGAAATATTTTTGTTAGTGCATTAAAACAACACTTTTTTTTTTATACAATTTCAACATGTGCATGATAAAATGACTGTAGTCATTTTGTATGAAGTGTTTCGCAGCAACAATTACGCACCTGACAAATATGTAAATAATCATTTGAAATCTTACGACATAGAAAAATTCTTATTAACATATTAGTATACATGGAGTAAGTAAATTTTTGTTTTGCTTTTGATATTTGAAATACGAGCCTATCTATTTTAGGTCGGAAAAAGTAAAAATACGAACACAACCAGTTGGAGACTACTGGTCATTTGAAAATAGTTGGGATACAGGTCTATTCGATTGTCGGGATGAGTTAGGAACATGTATGAAAAAGAATAATGCAGAAAATATTTCATGTAAAAAATGTCTTCCGATTTAGGCTGCTTTGCATATTGCTGTTGTCCTTGTTTTGCATGTAAACTGCAAATGCATACAAACGTATGTCTATGTACATGGTGTATACCTGGAGGCATGTTGAATAATTTAAAACAAGCAAGTTTTCATAGATAATTATTGACTTCTTTTTATTCATAGGTATTACAGCGTTTAGGACTAAAATTCGAACAGGCTTTCGAATTAGGGTTTGTATATTGAATTTAATATTTTAAAATAAGAAAAAGGGGTTTTTCGTTTTTTTAGGGTACAGTATGTGGTGATGCGTGTGCTACTTGCTGGTGTCCATGTTGTGTCCTTCTACAAATCAGTAATGAACTAGACCATCAGCATGTTTAAAAAAGGATCTACGGATGTGTTGAAGTGTGTTTTTTTGTTGTAAGAAAATAAGAAATGTGAATGGCGTAGCATTTTCGAGAAGTTTATATATAAATGAGTTTATTTTCTGTTGTTGAATAAAGTATTTCGACTTGACAATAACTTTATTTTTATTCTTGACACTTTTTAAGTCGATTCCTTCTTTTTTCGTGAAAAGTTTTGATGATATTTTCCGTATATGATTTGGATAGTTTAGGCCGATTGTACCAATAATCAAATCTACATAACAGTTTTACGGGTTGCTCAAATTGATGATTAGAAAGTGACGGAAGACAGACAGACAAGCTGAAAATCGCTGTTACTTGGGCAATGCAGACTAAATATAGTCTAGTTATTAATTTATGAGTTAGAACAAAAGGAAAATGTAGCTTCCATGATACTTGTTCTTTTGGAACGATGAAAATTCTATCGTCTATATAAATGATTTCGAGGTGCAAGTGCGCACCGCACGCACACCTATATTAAAACAATTTCTAATTTTTGATACAAATCTCAGTAGCTTACAAATTATCTCTGATTGTGTGTTGACATGTTTTTTTTTGGCCTATTTTAAGAAATATACACGCCATTAAAAAGAGGCATTCAGTATATTTATTTATAAGTGAATAAATAATTCGTGGCACTTTATTATCTTCATGACTTCAAAGGAGTTCTTTTAGCTTTCATTTTTGTCACCCGAGTAGCCATTCACAGTTCTCTAGTATATTCTATTCAGCAGTAGTCAATAATTTGACTAATGAAATAAGTGAACCATTCAATAGGATAGAATTCAGGTGAGAAAAATGCTTTTGTCTATTAAACAAAAATTTATGTAACATATTGAGGATGTGAATAAATGCCTCCCCCGCATTGTGAGGTGTGTTCAGATTTCCAAAAACTGGAAAGTACGGAAGTCGGCAATTTCAGAAATTATCAGATTTTTTGTAATGGCAGAGATTTTGAAGATTATCAGGTTCAAAATTTTGCCATTTTCCGAGATTTCCTTTTTTGAAAATCTGAACACTGCTAGTGTAAACTACTAGTTTGTGAGACTTGGTCGAGTTTCTAAAGGTTCCCAATACGATTTCGGTCCAGCTTTGAAAACTTCTTCATAGTGTACTCTTTGGTTTTGTGCAATGTCAAGCGTTTCTCTCAATTTTCGATGAATTGCACGAACTACTTAATTTTCGATTACAGTTTTACATCGAACAAACGAAAGATTTCTACCAACAATGTCAGCATTGCAATGATGCTCGTATAATTCCTATTCATATACTACCTCGTCTTCTCAATGACCTGATATTAATCAGTTCAAAAAAAGCTCTTTTTAACTGATTATTAATAAAATAAATGATTTATCCAGCTCTTTAATCACACTAATGGCCATTAACAACAAACCGAACATATTAAATAAAAATAATAATATGTAGGTTGCGCCATTTAACTATTTACATCAATTCACAATGGCTCTCTTTTTCGTTGATCTCTGTTCAAATCAAAAGCTTTCAGTGTATCACACATTTACAGTTATTATATCTCATATATAAATTATTTTCAATTTCAAACGGCATCTCATCGATCTTACATTAATTATCATATGCAAAGCTCGTAGCAAATAATTTCCCACTATCAACAATTTTCCCTTTATACTTCCGGATTCAGCCTCCACGTATCGTCTACTAGTGAGTTCGGTAGTTAGTTGAATCAGAATAAAGTGTAGAATTTTTGAAGAATGACCGATTCGTCTATTTGAAAATCTTACAAGAATATAAAATGATATTTTTCTTTTGAATTTATTATGTTTGAATATCTAGGTCATACCATATAAAGTTCAATCGAATGATTATGACAGTTGTTGCGATTCCAATTATTGGCCAATTTTGGATTTATCTTGTATCAAATGTTGAATCTCTTCTTTGCTCGATATTTGTATTATACTATCTTCTTTTTGATCAAAATCTTCGTCAACGTTTACATAATCATGTCGTTATCGTTATTCTCATCATAAACTTCGTCACTGAAGTTACAGATATTCCATGGATTAGCTATCAATATCGATATGGTGTTGTCTTGCTATTTACACCATTCTTTTGTCACACATGGAAATGTATCGACAGTACAACATATTCAACGACAGCAAGGCTTGTTGCATGGGCATCCGTCGAAAGACATATTCTCATTTTTCATACTAATTGGATAACTACAAAAAAGAGAAAAATTCTTTTGCATTATTTGCCGATTATCGCGATTGTTACCTACGGAGTCGCATTATTCACGATTACTCATTTTTTCCTTTCTTGCGTTCGTCCCTTAAATCCAAATTCGCTCTACTGTGGATTCTACAGCTGTATTTACAACAGTGGAGCCTATTCAATGTTTGAATTTATCACCGGTGGTATAACGAATGGATTTATCATTGCTACATTTAGTGCAGCTCTTCTTGCTCGTATTATACGAAAAAAACTTCGTATAAATCAGGAAGTCAATTGGCGTAAACAGCGTAAAATGACTATTCAACTTATATCAATTACATTATTATTTTACATTTTCTATTTGCCGGCTATTATCACGGCCATCCTGACTACTGCTGGTGTTCCAAACTATTATTTTGAAAATTTTAACGCTTATGCACAATTTTTCTCGTATTACATCAATTTTCTACTTCCTTTTGTTTGTGCGGGAACATTACCTCAGTTAAAAATTAAAATTAAAAATACATTACAATTTTGGACACGGCATAGACATACTACTGCGGTTGTACCGACCCAACGTATTGTTATTCAAAGAGGATTTTAAAAAATCGGCCATATTAATAGAAACATGAATCTATCAGTAAATGCTGATTAATCAATCGGAAAACGACAAAATTCGACTATTATTGATATTTTTCGTCTGTGAAACTATTCTGTGTATCAACGTTGTTTTTCGAATATCATTGGTGAAGTTTTCATCTGAACTTATGTATATTTCAATAAAATAAAACGGAATCAGATACTGATGTGCATCGAAATTTCACTAAGTATTCAAAATAATGCATCTATTGAAATTCATATGTTGGTCAAAATCTAAGTACAAGAATGTTTGGAAGGAGCACACAGAAAGATTACAGCAATTGAAATTCATGCAATCTATCTGCATTGCATGTCTAAGTTTTCTGTGTTTAAAATAATAGCTTGCTATCATTTGTGAGGAAACGAAGTCAATATATTTTTTTCTTTTAGACTTCTCTATTATCAATTAACGTCACGAGTGAAGAAACTATGAGAGATATTGTGATATATGTGTAGTAATACATTTATATTGGCCGTGTATGTCAAGTATGTTCTTATCATTTGATTACAATCAGACTTCTGTGAACGTACAGTTTCAGATTGAATTTTAGCTGATACAGTTTCGTTGAGAACGTGAGATCCATCTGCAGAGAAAAATCCAATTCACTTTGAGCGTATCATATTTTTAACTTATTAGTTGGAGTGTGAGATCTTTAATTTGATCTGAACATGCCTAATGCCTTTGAGTGTTATATCACGCGCATCCTCGCTGTTAGATCACTGCGAGCCTTCTTCCCCTCAGCAACCACATTTTTTTTGCACATATCATCCTAGTGAAATTGTCTGAGACTTCTTAGATTATGAATGGATTCTTTTTTGTTTTTGTTCTTTCTTTTGACAGATAATTTATTTCTGTTACATCTTGCAAAGCGATACAGTTCGAGCCTGGTTAAGATTTGATAAAACTCTTACAGTATATTATCTGCTATTCATTAGTGAATCTTCGAAAATAGCCGAGAGTGAATCCCGAGAAGAGTCTCTATCGTTCATTGTGGAAGGAATCGGATAGTACTTTAAATAAAAGCCTAAAACGGATACTGATTAATAATAAAAGGATCTCAGGCAGCTAATAATAAGGTTTCAAGCTATAATCGTAACAGCAAACTTGGCAACGTCCTTGAGACTCAATAGTTTGTTAGATCTTTTTCATTTTTAATATGTAATTTATTTTGAAACAATTTACGGATTTGTAAATTGCTTTCTAATATTGCCATTGTAACCATTCTTGATCGAAGAAGTATTAGTGCGATAATTTTACACTTTATTCTTTTCATTCATTTTATTGAATCCTATCATTTAAATCGAAAGCACACGTTGATCTTATGTGACCAGCAGAGAAAATGAGATAGTCCACATGATATATTTATAATAAAACGAACACAGCCGGAGATGGCGTAGTGGGTCTATACATCTGATTATTAATCAGCCATGAAACGGTTCGATCCCTTCCCCCGAAGGCGGTGTCTTCGGTGTCAAGATATACGGTATCGGAAGAATAAGCAAAGGAAGAACAGTAATCACTGCCTCGATCTCGACTTTCGTTCTGTTCGGTTACGTTTTCGCTTCCTTGTCATCCTTTCTTTGTTTGTTATCGTAGTCTTGTCGGCTGCCTCTTGTTTTCTTAAGCGTCCACAAAATTTATACAAAAAAAGTCACAAAAATATGTATGGATGTCACGAATAAATATAGTGCATAAACCAAAAAAAACAAAAAGAACATTGAACCATGAGATATTAACTGTTACCTATAAACAGCCAATGGAGTCGTGTCATGAAAGTAGATAAGTCTACTGAATAGGCTCATTCGACAATGTCAAATGCAAGACATCAAGTTTTTGGAAAAATTCATGATGAACATGTGTATTTTATCCACACGCTCACACTGTTTCTAATTATCAGAAAGATCTCTGTGAACAATATTTCAAGAAATATTTAGTTAGTATAGAACTTAATTAAAAAAATATATTCGTGTTAGAAAATCTTTTATTATTTACTTACGAATTCTATTTTCGAAATATTTTGAGCAATATTCAAATTTTCATCAAGATCTTTGATCATATTTCTGTTCGAAGACACGGATGCCTCACAGTTGCGAGTAATATTAGCATAGTGTAAAATTTTTTTGGTTTCTCTGTGATGCAGCATGACTTGATTTTGTATTACTCCATAAAGAATAGTTATATTGATGATGACATACAAAACTTATGAACAGCTCTCTTGACGATAAGCCAGATGCGACATAAATATTTGCCATGTCAGTCAGTGTTTAATTTTAAGCCAGTGTTGCCGGACGAGTTTACCTTTTCCGCTCTATGATAATTACAAATTTAATAAAATGGTACTCACTACTTTAATGTATATCATGAAAGGTCGTGATGAGACTCGGCTTTATTGCAGTAACATATGTGCACATTAATATTGAGTGAGATACTTAAAAATCATTAATTACTGTCAGGGTAAAACTTGATTATCAGTGGATAATTTTATTCTGTCTATTGCACACATAAACAAGACAGAAAAATTCTTGAACAGATTGAATTTTTTCCTACGCAATACCTGATACAAGAAAATTATCAAACTTGAAGGAGAAATTCAGAGAAAACTCTAAAATAAATTGGCTCGACATGTTAATATAAATGACCTTAACAATTATCATGACTGTAAAATTTGAAAACACTTAATAATAATAAAGATAATCTGGCTAAAAAGTTCTCGATTTATTCAAGTGGCATTCGCACGGCTGCCAGGAAAACATTTCTGATGAGAATATAGTAACTTGGCTTAGGAATATACTAAATAGATTGATCCTACAGAAAACAATTTTAGGCGGAAAGTCTCAGCTCTCAATCTGTGGGCTTCACAAAAAATAAAAGAAATGTCTATACTCTGTACTTTATTTGAAAAGGAAGTGTTTTTTTCATAACAATATCTGCACTTTATTAAAGCCACGGATAATGTTGCCTACTGATCAATCGGTTATCAGCATTTTTTCCTTTCTCCTTTCAATGATTCCAATAGTACTTTTATATTTAGTGAGGCGCAACACTAGTCAATAACTTAATCAAAATTTAAAGCACTCGTGTTTTATGTCAAGAACGTCTACTATAGTTTCAGTGAAGAAAAAACATGCTGCTATTCTTTTCGATCGCGTACCCGCTGAAAATGCATATCTATGTGCTCGTAGAATTGCCGAGACCTAACATCATTTGATGACATCTATTCTTGGAATCATTATTAATAAAGCGTTCACTTGATAATATCGTTTAGTTAAACTAATGAGCACCTGCATTCAAAACAAACTAGGCTAGAAGTGAATATGAAACCAGGGACGGCGCGAACGGGGAGGGGGATCTCCCAACTTTGGAAATTTTTGTTTCAATTTTACTCCGATTTGAAGAAAATAGAAGAGATTTTTATTGATTTACTCCGATTTTTGAAAAAACATCTTCCGTTTTCAAGTAACCCCCTATATTTTTGTTGCTTCGCGCCGTCCCTGTATGAAACTCATACTCATTTATTATTTCAATAATATCAGAGGATCCACTTTTTTTTATCTCCGTCGAAATGAACGCTTTACACAGTGTATCACTCATTTATATTCTATTTGAATTTCTAGCTTACGATACGGAATAATTGAGTGAACAATTATGACAGTTGTTGCGATTCCAATTATTGGCCAATTTTGGATTTATCTTGTATCAAATGTTGAATCTCTTCTTTGCTCGATATTTGTATTATACTATCTTCTTTTTGATCAAAATCTTCGTCAACGTTTACATAATCATGTCGTTATCGTTATTCTCATCATAAACTTCGTCACTGAAGTTACAGATATTCCATGGATTAGCTATCAATATCGATATGGTGTTGTCTTGCTATTTACACCATTCTTTTGTCACACATGGAAATGTATCGACAGTACAACATATTCAACGACAGCAAGGCTTGTTGCATGGGCATCCGTCGAAAGACATATTCTCATTTTTCATACTAATTGGATAACTACAAAAAAGAGAAAAATTCTTTTGCATTATTTGCCGATTATCGCGATTGTTACCTACGGAGTCGCATTATTCACGATTACTCATTTTTTCCTTTCTTGCGTTCGTCCCTTAAATCCAAATTCGCTCTACTGTGGATTCTACAGCTGTATTTACAACAGTGGAGCCTATTCAATGTTTGAATTTATCACCGGTGGTATAACGAATGGATTTATCATTGCTACNTACAAAAAAGAGAAAAATTCTTTTGCATTATTTGCCGATTATCGCGATTGTTACCTACGGAGTCGCATTATTCACGATTACTCATTTTTTCCTTTCTTGCGTTCGTCCCTTAAATCCAAATTCGCTCTACTGTGGATTCTACAGCTGTATTTACAACAGTGGAGCCTATTCAATGTTTGAATTTATCACCGGTGGTATAACGAATGGATTTATCATTGCTACGTTTAGTGCAGCTCTTCTTGCTCGTATTATACGAAAAAAACTTCGTTTAAATCAGGAAGTCAATTGGCGTAAACAGCGTAAAATGACTATTCAACTTATATCAATTACATTATTATTTTACATTTTCTATTTGCCGTCTGTTATCGCTAGTATCCTGGGAAGCTTTGGTATTTTAGGTGTGCACGCCGAAACTTTGGCGGCTTATGGATCTTTTTTCTCGTATTACATCAATTTTCTCCTGGCTGCTGTTTGTGCTGGAACATTACCTCATCTAAAAATTAAAATTAAAAATACAATACGCTTTTGGACACTTCATAGACTTACTACACCAACTGTACCAATGATAAATAGTATTGAACACAATCAGACTGGTCGAAATTGTCACTCTATGAGAATCGACAATTTATCAAGACAGCCTGCTCGACGGTTTAACAAATGACAGAAGTAAACTTTCTGACGATGTTGTATTGATGTTGTTCATTTTTTTAAGTGTACCCATTTTTTTCTTTATTTCATCTTCTCAATTATGGATGTATACTAATAATATTGTTAAAATGCATCCTCATCCTTTACTGTCCATAATTGAAACATTCAGTTTATGTTTTCTCACCTTAAATACATATTTGATCGATTAAACGATAGAAATGCCTCAAAATACCGCACAGATCAATTATTTCGTACTTGTCAAATGTCTCGTAGAGCTTTGTTATAATAGCAATCTTAATCAGTTTACACATGCACGCTTCCTCCAATTTGAACATCAGTGGAGTGACGTTTTACTCAGTTGTCAATACCTTTAGTCGTATCATAGACAGCTGATGCGAAACAGTACCGATACTAATCTATGTCTTATATTGCTTCACCACATTGACTGTATATCGTATCTTAAATTTTGCACTCGTTTCTGACATTTACTGTCGTTTTGATCAATTCAACTGAATCGCGATTTGATAATACAATCACTTTTATGAATTCTAAAGTATAGAGAAATAAAATGAATTCATTCCATAGAAAATCTGTAGAATATATTAGATATTATTTCAGTCAATCATGTCTCCTATATTTTCCAAAGCAACACGAGAAATACGAAGAGCATCACTTTGAATGATTAAATCTCTACGATGAATGTAATTTAATTTTGAATTATTGCATGTTAGTATCAATGACATCAAGGGAATTAGTGTAATCAGTAACTCATGCAACGCTAGAAACTATGCATAATATTTTAATAATCAAAAGAAATCAGTTATTTATATACTTCTATGCCTCGAAAAGAAAACGAAATAAATGAGTATTACTCATAGAAACTTACTTACTGTATATAAAATATCAAAAGGTATCGATAAAATGATCGAATTCTCTCTTGTAAAAGAATACCAAAAATTTACAGGCATTGACTTATCGTGTGTCTGTTCTATTCATAATAATCTGACTTATTAGATTACACGATTAACAAATATATTTAGACTGACTATGATCGTATGTAGTCTTTGCCAGAACATTTATCTTGACTGTGATATTCAAGGTTAACAAGTGACATGTCATCATATTAAAAAAATGGTAATAATTACAACAGAACAAAGCGTATTAAAAATTTATCATAACGTCAGCTATGTTTACGTAGGAAGAGGTAAGTTATTCTCATCGATATTTATTTGTTGTTTTTGATAAATTAAATTATTTCTTCGAGTAGATTGACATACTTTGCAACAGAAGAAAATGTCCCTTGTTACTAATAGACTTGAAGAATTCTATTGAGAGAATATATATATCGCTACATGTGAAACATCGACTTTGTTAGGAGATGAGTAATTCTTTTTTATTGATGTCTGCAGACAAATACCTAAATGCCTGATGACATTCTGTTTGCTTTCCTCTTTTTGCCTTCGTTTATAATTAGCTAATTATAGACTAACGTATCATGTTTTGCTTAACAATTTTGAATTTTTCTGATGGATGTTGATTGAAATATGTCGTGATTTGTAAATATGTTCGATGAACTATCTTTATTCGAAATATTGATAAGACGACTTTAATTCAATAGTTGATATTGGAGTCCAAGTTGTGACAAATGAGAAAACAGGTTTATTAGTTTTTTCCATGTTTGACTAATCCAGGATAATCTTTATTCATGTTATCTATTTCGTAGTTTTATTTTTTTTTCTTCTCTCTCTCTCTCTCTCTCTCTCTCTCTAGTTATTCGATTCTCTAATGCTTGATCTGTTCTTAACGTGATGTCAAAATGAATATGACATTAATTAATTTAGGCGTTATATAGATCGTGCCGACTACAACCACGAGAAACACTATTCGATGTTTATTTATTTGATTTGATTGCACTCATTTTATTATCCTGTTGTACTCATGTCTGCTGTAGAATCACTATATGCTGATTCTTCTGTTCCAACGTCAACAAATCAACGTAAAAAACCTGAACGTATCTATGAATGGTATGCATGGTCATATTTTAATATAATTTTCGGCTGTTTAATAATGGGTTTTATCGCCATGTTTCTATCTCTACGAACGACACGATATAAAGATTCTGAAAATGATTCCAAAGCTCGTATTTGGTCTCGTATTACTTTAGTGTGGAACATATTGGCAACATCGACCGGCATCGGACTAACATTGTATGCTATATTGAAAAGATGAGCTGAGAATTTTTTTTCTTCGAATTTTATTTAACGCTGAAAAAAATGTAAGACTTGTACATACACGTTTTATTTTTTTTGCTCTTATAATCAAATTTATATATCCACAAAAAAAGGAATTTTTATGAAAATGGTGGAATTGAATCACATACATGAGGATCGTTTGATCGAGCAGATTTTAATATACACAAGAGGTTTCGTCTACAATCATGATTGCAATTAGTGGTATGGGATTTTCTATAGTGTTTATAAATTAAATCCATTAATGTACCATCAATATCATTTTGTAATCTTTCAAGTAGATCGCTCCAATCGCTTGGAAATAAATATTTCATTTGATAAGCATCGCGAGCACTGTATTCATCATGAAATATTGTTTGATTATAAATATTTGTTGCCGTTAAATTCATAATGACAGTACGATGATCAAGTGCCCAATAGGAACTACCTGGATAATCACCATCAACTGTAAAAATACTATAGTCAGGATTGAGACTTGAATACGTAGTGAGCGATGGACCAATATAAGCCTAAGATGAAGTAAATATTATTCTTAAGAATACCGAGAAGTAGATAATTACCATTGAAACAGGACGTGTTTGATCGATTTCATCGTAGAATACAGTAAATTCATCTTCATGTACATGTCCGAAAAATTGGCCAGCTATCGTATTTTCATAGTTGACGTCATCGGAAAAAAAGGAAAACTTTTGATTTTCTTTTGAAAAAAGAAAAACTTCATTTTTTATACCGGTTAACAATTTTATAATAATTCTAACTAAATGCTGCTAAACATGAAGTTGGTGGATGATGTCCAATGATATGAACTTTTTCTTCGTGATCTTCGGCATATTGTAACCATTGAATAAACTATACAAAAAAAAACATGATCGCATTGAATTATGTGACTTTTTTATGGTGAAAACTGACCCATTGGAGCTGATCGAGTGGATCTGTTGAGTTGATATAAAACTAGGGGTGTCGGCTTAGCATGAGTATTAAGTTAATTAATACTTTTTTAAATACTTTTCCGTTAGTATTAAAAAATAAATTTAATGCTTGGGTATTAGTGTTAAAAAAATAATTTAATACTTTGGCATTAGTCTTAATTTAGTATTAGAAAAATGCTAATACATTTTATAAATAAATAACTTTGTCTCTGAATAAAAGTTCTCTGAAATGAGTACTGATTTCTTTACTAAAGTTTTACGCATTTCTTTAATAAAACCTTTGTGAGTGAGAATAATATTTTCGTTTGTATGTCCCACATTGATCATAGAATTATTTGCTGAATAATTTTTATTTGCATATTTGTCCACTCCCCATGTCACTCCGTGCGCTTTGGTGCGCGCACGTAACGTTGTGCGCACTTGGTGCGCGTACGGGTATGGGCACCGATACGTGCGCCACCATGCGCGTACGTACGTGACGTTCCTACGCGCACCAAAACGCACGGGGTGACATGGGTCGCATATAGCTTAAAAGTTACTCCAATAAAATTCACTTGCCATTTTTTGCTCCAATAAAATTCGACTATTTCAAATAATGACAATGAATTAAGACTTTATCGAAAATTGAATTTATTAAATTAAATATCGACGTAGATCAATCTATGTCAAGTAAAATGAAAAGGAATATTTTGTAATTAACTTCAACTCACTGTCTCTTTTATCATTTCGTAATGAAAAGCGTGCGACTTTCTATTTTTATGATATATGATCTTCTCTAGATGATTTCTATATTTTATATATCACAGTATTATCACACGTATGAATTATTTTAAAAAATGACTTGGTGTTACAAATATGTAGATTAGGATACAAAAACTTCTTCAGAATTGAAGTGTTTTTGATTCTCGTTTAGTTATTATATTTTCATTTTCAAATATTTATGCACAATATACGAAATGCTCTCGAACTATAATAATCGTTGGCAGCAGGTCACGTGCCAAGAAGCAACGTTTTATTCTTTTACTTTAGACTGCTACCAAATAAAACAAAGAAAACTATCAGATCATGTTCTAAATTGGATAATATGCATAGATATTCAGCGTGGAAAGAAAGAAAAAAAGAAGAGATTATGTATCCACTTCATGCTAGCTTGTAACACTCTTCTAAGAGAAAAATTAATGGTGGTGTGTCTATTCGCTTTTAATGTTGTTGATGTCGTCTAGTTATATCGTATATTTTAAAGAAACAGAAAGTTGTAAACAATCGCTTTATTTGAAATTTTTACTATTCAAACAGGAGTATTCACACATCATTTTCTCTATGAGTAAAGATAATAACGATTTTCATTTACAATCTAATACTTTACCACCATGTTCTCAAACATGTTCCAACAGTTCACGAGCACGACCATCAAGACCATCTTCAGGAAATCGAATCTTACACGGTAGGTTGTCTAGCCCATCATCGTCACTATCAAAAGTTGCTCATCGAAGACGAAATTTATCTTCACGTAAGTAGATTTTACATTTGAAATAGATCGATATTAATTTTTTTCTTCGAAGAAATTTGTATTTTTATATTTGCTTGCGACTACCATTTATGATAAATTACTTAATATGAGAATGCTATATTATATACAATACTTTTTTTTCTAAATTTAGAACAACATGCTCGATCGAGAAAATCTGCGTATTCTACCGCCAATCGCACTACTTTGCGTTCATCGATCATTATTAGTTTTACTACTCAAAGCAGTTATGTTTATTGATTGTTTATACATCAGACTGATCACTGGTTTACTAAGGAGTTTTTAATTCGAATGACCGCTGAAATAATAATAAAAACGAAAAAGTCTTTGTCGGAACATAATATACATGTCTCAGAGGTCTTTTCAGAAAAACAAATAGTAAATAGAATCTTATATATTGACCTTAATAAACACAATCAAAAATAACCTTTTTCGTTTAAATCGATAGTCGCTTTCAATATTGGTTCAAATTGTTTTTCTTTTTGTTTCGTTTAGGTAGCAGCTTTTCTCGATTTTGTTTTCCATGCAGATTTAACATCAAACAAAGATGATTATGAAACAGCAAAACAAATTGTTATGAAAGCTATGCAGCAAATAGATTTGATAGTACCTGGTGCTTCAGGAGTACCATCATTAACTGAATCAAGAGGTTCATCATCAACAACTAATGGAGCTCCAATTATGCGCTTAAAATCTAATCTTATGAGTATTACCAGGAAAAACCCATTACCATCATTTATCAATTCAGCCTTTAAGTGCCGATCTTGAAATCGCAACTTTTCTGATTTTATTTTGTGATAACGAGTCAACAGATTTTCAAACATTTTGGAAAAATCATACTCGAGTTTTACCACGCCTCAGTCAAATTGCACGTCAATACAATGCTATTCCAGCAGCATCTGTTTATTTAGAACAAGTTTTTAGTGTGACTGGTGCAATTAAAAATATACGACAGGCGTCTATGTCTTCAGTAACATTACGTAGTCTAATGATCTTAAGAAAGAAAAAGAACATTGAGAAACTTCGCTCATTTTCTCTTCCATAATACTAATGGATTTGATATTATATTAAACATTATTCTTGTTTCTCTATTTTGACTATAACATTGAGTTTTTTCATCATACCTATGGAAAAAAATTTGATTAAAATACAGCGAAATAATGATTAATACTCAATTATAATGGTACTATTATAGTCGAATTTTTCAAGCTGTAGAAGACGAACCATCTTTTATTTTGATTGCTTTGCTACCCATTTTGATGATCTGTAGTTTGATCAACAATCAATTAAAATAGGCTGTGAAATAGCCAAAATAAAAAATACCTTGCCTTTTGGAGCTCGAAAAATTTGATTATAATCGGATTATAATATTACCTTTATAGTTGATTCTTAGTCATTGCTTCGTTGACTTTTAATCAAATCTTTTTGTCATAGGATATGTTCACATCATTTTTTTTAAAGTTTCCTGTTTTTAGATGAAAACCTGCAAGTCAATGTGTTCATGCATAAGGTTATAATAAAGTTAAGAACTAGATTCATGTCATCTTGATATCATCAATGTTTACGTCGTAGCACAACACATTATAAATTTATGTGTCTAAAATCATTTCTCTAACTTGTATAACTGCTTACAGGTGTCACATGGCATATAGAATAATATAGCTATGTGCAACTCAGACAATCATGATATGTATTAGCATTCTTCTAATACTAAATTAATACTAATGCCTAAGTATTAAGTTATTTTTTTAACACTAATACTAAAGTATTAAATTATCTTCCTAATACTAATACAAAAGTATTAGCATCTTTTTAATACTCATGCTAAGCCGGCACCCATATATATAACCAAAAATGATCTTGAGCACAATAATTCATATTCAATGAAATTAAACGTAGACTTGGTCGTACTAATGTTGTGTAGAACGCACCACGTAAAATTCTGTCACTAGTATCCGACAGTAGGCCAAGTTTAATCCAATTATCAGCTAATACTTCGTATAACCAAGATATATTATCGGATCGAATGTTTGGTGTTGGATACATATTATATGGTGCTTAACCAAAATAAAACAATTGGAAAAGTCAAGAGGAACTAATAGATTAATGGGATAATGCTATAATACCTGCTTCGTGATTGCCAACTGCGGAATAGAATTTTTTATTCGGAAAAAGTGTTGTTAACAATTGATTTATAGTTCGTATTGAATAAAATTGATCCGAACGTGATTGATTCCATACATTATGAGGTGGCAAATCACCAGTATAATAGATGAAATCGATCTATCATAAACCATAAACTATATTGGTTCTATGTAAGAATTAATAGTTACATTTTCCATTTCAACAATATGTTTGAGTAAAGCTTCAGCTGTCCAATAGGGTAGATCACAAGTTCTATAATCACCCCTGTAAATAATAGAAGATAGATTTAGATTAAAGAGCAATAGTGAACTTTACCAAAAACCAGCACCTGTCTCATTAGCCGCTAAATGAATTTAAAAAATAGTAAAAAAAGGTTTTTTTTTCTAGACAAAGCAAACTTACAAGGTTGACCTGCTCGACAGCATAGTGGTTCATGACAATTAGCTAATGATCCTGGTTTATAAGCAAAATTAACATGAATATCGGATAGATGAAGTACGGTTAATTTAGGAGATTCTGGCTACAACAAAGTTAACAGTGTTATCTAATTTCTTGTTTTTCTCTCTCACCGATGGCGGTTGTGGTGGTCGTGGCGTTGGTTTCGGTTTATCAGGCAAGGTCACATTCCATTGGAAAATTGAAAAATCGAATTGTGATTCACATTGAAATCCTACTGCGCATAAAGCTTTATTGTTAAGAGGCGAGGTAGTAAATATTTCTAGAAAAGCATCCTATTAAAATAATCATAAAATGAAACAACGACTCAACTTAAATCAATTACTTTGTATTCATTCACTGCACCAATACAAACACTGTCGTCAATTTTTTTTATACTTTTTGCATATAAATAAAAGTACTTCATTGAAATGTGATGTTCGATTTTTTTCGATCAGTGTTTTAATCTATCAATACGCACATAAATCAAAATTGTATTCAAAAAAGCTTTTCAGCGCAGCCCCGTTGGGGCTAAAATGTGGAACTCACATATTTCGGTTAGTTAGATACTGACCAAATAGAAGTTTTATTTTTTCAGTGCAGTGAGATCATATTCTGTCCAAAAATAAGATAATAAAACTTTTTTAACATTTGAAGTTTATTGGATCTATCAATAGGAAATATTACTAGAGAGAACGTATGAAAAACGTTTTGTTCAGAGTATGTCACTATGCAGAAGTATTTAGTGGTTTCATTGAGAAATACTGTGAATGATAATAATTTAAACAGTATTTAGGTTATAGCCATCAATATTGTTGAGAAATTTATATTTTTTCGTATTCCAGGCCCGAACCGTACGGTGGGAAACTGTTAGTTCCGGTGAAATTCCGGCAAAAACATGGAGGCAGTATTCCGTGATCGGTTACGGCTAACGTTTACTGCTTCTTCCCTGCTGATTCCTGCAGCCGGATGAAATGCCAGGATCCCGCTGCCGTTCCCGGCAAGGTTCCTGAGAAGGGTTTCGACGCCTTTTCACGGGAACAGGATCCTAACTATATTTCTTCCGTTTCCAATTCGGTTGCAACGTCCAGATCTGGCCGTTTTTATTTTCTTTCAGACGGTTTAATCCCGTAACCGGAAACGATAGGATCTATTCGAAAACGTACTCCTTATAGCTACATGATTTTAATACCTTATAATTGACAAATTGGATCGCTCTCTCAAAAGAATCTCCAGAACACAATTGTATATTCACTGTTCAAATGTATGGAATATTAAGAAAAAGTTACAATTCCATGCAAGCATTGATACAGATTTTGGCTCTTCAAAACATTGGACTAAATTGGTCATGATAGTCATTCTTAAAGCAGTTTTAAGGAGTACGAATTTAACAGCAGTGTAAGAACAAACCGATTGGATACAAAATGTCGCGTAAGAGATTGCACAACTCACAACCCACTGCTGAGAGCAATAGTTGAGTAGAGACCACGATAGACTATTGAATTCTGTCTTCAAATTGGAAGATATTATTTAGCTCAGGTAATCCATCGCGACAATGCACGAGAACTAGGTAAACGAAACCACTACTGAGCTGATTTAAATTAATTTAATTGCCAAGAATTCAAAAACATCTGATACAAAACAAACTGACACCATAAAATGCAATAAGTTAAACGTCCGTCTCTGGAACGTCTAAAAACCGACAAAATACTCAAATCTTATCATTTTAAAGATCTTCAAGCACAACTGTCACAGATACGAACGGAAGGTGACATGTAGGCACAGGAGCAGAAAGACCATCCACTCCGAATCCAACCGAATTAGATATGTCAAAAACGAAAGCGCTCAAAAAAAAAGTATTGAAACATTAAAAAAGTCTTCACACTGCATAGCAGCCGATCTTCACCTATATAACGGGTGCTCCAGAAATAATGGCCGCTTTTTGTTTCGCAATTATCTGTGCCATTTTTTATGCTATTGGCTTAATTTTTTTCAAAATGATCGCAATTTAATTCTCTACATAGCTATGATTTGGGTTTTTTAGATCAATTTTAGAACATATTTTCAGATCATGAAAAGTAAAGATCCACAAAAGCTTGTATTTTCCAAGTATGAAAATGGGGATTCAGCATCCAAAATTTTCAACGGCTTAAATGGTTGAGTCAGTTATCGCACAGTCCGTCGATGGCGCAAAATGATTCGAGAGCGTGGCTCCATCGATTTATCACATCAACCTGGTCGACCGCCGATTGTTCGTACAAAAGCTATGATTCGCAAGGTCAAGCATCGTTGTAAGCGAAAAAAAAGGTGTCTATTAGAAAATTAGCTACTGATTTGGATATCTCAAACGCGTCTGTTCATCGAATACTCACAAAAGATCTTGGATATTTCCCGTACAAAAAACGAATTGAATCATTTCTTACAAATGCTCAAAAAGTAAAAAGATTGAAATTTGCTTACTGGGGTACGTCATAGTTATCGAAAAGAAGATTCTTTAAAAATTATTTTTTCTAATGAGAAAATTTTCCATTTGAATGGCATGTATGACACTCAAAACGATCGTGTATGGGCAATCAACCGTGAAGAAGCTGATAAAAATGGTGGGGTGAAGCAGAAGCAAAATTTTCCTGAACGAGTCATGGTATGGTTAGGGGTATGCTCAAAAGGTGTGACACCGTTAGTCATTTTTGATGAAGGAACTGTGAATCACCAACGTTATATTGATGAAGTATTACCAGTGGCTTGGGAGTACGCCAACAAGATGTTTGGTGATCAGTGGATGTTCCAACAAGGCGGTGCAAAGCCACATACACATCGTTTGACTCAACAATGGTGTAAACAACATTTTCCATCGTTTATTGATAAAAGCCGTTGGCCTCCAAACTCACCTGATCTGAACCCCTTAGACTACTTCATCTGGGATGAATTTGTTCATCAATCAAATGGGATAAAATCCAATCAAAAAAGACTTTAATTGAAGAACTAAAGTGCGCTGTAGAACGAATAAGACAAGAAGTTATATTGGAAAGTTGTGCAAGTTGGACCAATCGTTTATATCGTTTATTAGAAAACAAAGGAGATTATTTACATAAATAAAATAGGGTGGTTTTGTAGAGAATTCATAAACGTTTCGTTAAAAAAAACTTAGAATGCTACGCATAAAAATTCAGCGAGATAATATTAAAACAAAAAGTGGCCATTATTTCTGGAACACCCGTTATATATATATATATGCATGTTCAGCACTTAGAAGTTCATTCACTCGTCCATGCAGCCACTAGTAAAGTGCCTTCAAGACTGCGTGAGACTCTTCAAACTGACCTAGCGATACATGAGCATCCTGAAGATCACCAATCTATCGACATGAGTGAGCATTCAAAGTTCCAACCCCAGAGGCGCAACACACCTGTTCAGATAAGTCACAGGTAACACTTCGCATACTTTTTTTTATAACAAAATTTTCTCAAAATCACTCCAATCTCATTTCTAATATTAATCGATGATAATTGAAAACAAGAATCGACATAGAACTTTCGACTTATTATAGATCTTCCTTGAGCAACGTTTACAATCAGTGTTGTACTCTCCATGAGCAGTATATCATCTAATTAAGGTAAATAGAACCAATCACCTTCAAAGATCTTTATTAGTAAAATCATGATTTCGGGCTTAAATCAAGTTCGAATTGCAGCGCTTCTTCGCGAAAAGATCTTAAAATATGATTTTCTATCGATCTGGATCTTCTAATCACAGAAATACCTTATAACTAAGGTAGTCACAATAACGATCTCTAGTGATCTTCGTAGATCTTTCATATTTGTTTCAAGATGCAGAATCGTGGGTTCCGTTGTGCTTCCAGTTTTTCCCCTCCCTGTTCCTCTAGGATCATTGTATGTTCCTTAGAGTTTCCTATGACTGGATTTGGGAGGAAGTTAAGAGTTCAGGGTACGTTTTTTCCGGATGGAATACTGCTTCCACTTCCTATTGTTTTCCCTGCAGGATCCGGCGGGAAGGACTATGGAACTGGTGGAAAATCGCCGGAAAGAAGCCGTTTCCAGACAGGTTTCGGAAGGATCCGGAGAACAGAATCATCGACCTGGGATATATGAAAAACTTATTTCTCGAATAAGAAAACGTATAATGTACAAAAGAATCGTTCGCTTGTTCTTTTAGTTTCGATGACATATTGACTCAAACTTGTAACCAAGCCGTAAATCATGACGAAAACGAGCTGATGATGTTCGAAAAAAATCCGATCGGCTTATGTCGTTGCATGTCTGATGAATACGTATTGATCGTTATACTTCACGCAGTAATATTAAATTAACATCAAAACAACAAAGAATATTATGTACACGATTAGTTGCAACAGCACGGAGTCGTACACAAGCTGCTATTGATTTAGAACGTGCATTTCTTGATATTGGTTATACATGCGTGGATGATTCACCTGTTTCTATTCGAACTTTACCGGGTTTCGTTTTTGATCCATCAACAATTACTTTCATGATCGTGAATTATGATGATGGCGATGATGGTGGTGAAACAGAATGCGAAAAAACCAAAAATTCACACTTATCAAGTATCACCACCACCAAGAAGATGAAGCAGCTCAATTTAGATCATTTTATTAAGAAGTAAAAATTTAATTGTAGTTCTTTTTCATATTTTGTTTTGTATTTTCATTTTGTATATGAAATTTAATCATATTAAGATTAACTATAACTCAATAAAATATATTTGAACAAGATTCGATCTTCTTTAAAGAAATTTTCATATTAAAAGACCATGTCATAATGCAAGACCCCTCAAAACATTTTACACGCTAAAACATAATAAAAGACCCTGGGTCTTTTATTATAGGCGGGGG